GATAAAGGAAAGGGATCAAGATGAACAGCCAAGAAGAGCCTTCAGACTGCAATTTTGCAAAAATCTGAGAAGAAGGGGATAGGACTACAGTTGGTTAGGTAGAACCTCAGATTACAGTGCCATTGTAAGAAAGTTCAGGTAGGCTGATAAGCATAGTTGTTCTACAGGTATGGATTTGCACTGTTCTAGCACCTAGCTCAGTAACTGGCTGGAAACAGCTGTGGCTTAAGCCTAATCCAAAGCTGGTGATGTCCTTAACTATGCTTCCCCCAATTGGATATCTAAGTAATATATGTCCATGGATACCCTACTTGTCAATAGAGCACATTTAAGAGAAAAAGGGTTAGTATACTTTACATACCACTAATATTAATACTGTTTTTAATATGAGGGGGGAAAAAAAGCAGGAATTTTAGAAAGTAGAAACACCCAGATCTCATCATTTAACATAACTATTTTCACTTTGCTATAGTCTCCAGTTTTTCCCCTAATGTATACACACTTTGTAGTTGACAATCATGGCAACAAAAATGTGTTCCGTAAGTTTAAAAAAAAAAATTCCTATATCATTAAACATTTTTCATATTGCTACATATTCTTTATTTTTAATACAGTATATGTACTTTTTAAATTTTTAAATTGTCAGATTTATCATGTAAAACATGTTTTTATACACATTGTGGAATGGAGAAATTGATCTAAATAACAAATGTATTGCCTCACATAATTATTATTTTCATGGTGAGAACACTTAGTATTCACTCCACATTTTTTAAGAACACAATGTATTGTCATTTACTATAGTCTCAAAGTTGTACAATGGATTTCTTTTTCTTTCTTTCCATTTTAGCAGTGCTGAGGATTGAATCCAGAGCCTCATGCATGCTAAGCAAGCACTTTACCACAAAGCCACATCCCCAGCCTTGTACAATAGATTTCTTGATCTTATTCATCCTACCTGCCTGTGATAATTTTTTGTAATATGTCTCTGTCCCCATTTCCCTACAACCACTCCAGCCCTTGGTAATCACTTTTCTATGAAATCAACTTGCTAGCTGGGCATGGTAATACATTCCTAATAATTCCAGCAACTCAGGAGGCTGAGGCAAGAATCACAAGTTTAGACCAGCCAGAGCATCTTAGCAAGACCCTATCTCAAAATGTTCTAGGGATGAAAAAAATAAAGAGGAAGAATCCTGTCATTAGTGACAACATAATCAAGCTGACTTCTTTTTGTTTTTCTTATGGTACTGAGGATTGGGCCCGGGGTGCTCTACCACTGAGCTACATCTCCAGTCTTTTTAAATTTGTTTATTTTGAGATGGGGTCTCACTGAGTTATTATTGATCTTGCCAAGTTGACCAGGCTTGCTTTGAACTTGCAGTCCTCCTGCCTCAGCCTCCTGGGTTGATGAGAATACAGGTGTGTACCACTCTTCTTTTTTTAAGGGTGAATAGTGTTCCATTGTGTATATATTACCACATTTTTTTTTTATCCATTCATCAGTCAGTGGACATTTACATTGATTCCATGTCTTGACTATTTGAATCATGCTGGGTAGATATCCTAAAAGTATCCACTGAAACTGGCTTAACTTTTAGCCTATAATTAGAAGTTAATAATATTAAGTTTGATATAATATGAACATGATCTTTATAAAGTTTTGTTGTATATTGAGATATACTCAGGAAGTGGAATTATTCATACTTTTAAAATTGATGATACACAGCCACTTGCTTTTCAAAAGTATTGTCTAATAAGAATTAAAAACTTTCAGTTTCCTTTCATAACATGGAAATAGTCATTTGTCTTTTTTTCAATATGTGCAGGAACTTTGCATCTCAAAATTACATCAGTGAATTAAATATTCCAGTTTATTTCTATTATCAAGGAAATATTTGGTATGATAAATCCATCTCTTAATGAGAAGTTAATATATCTGAAAAGCATTTTACAACCTGTAAAGTACCATACAGAGTTATTATTAAAGTCCTCTAGAAAATAGCAAACTAAAATAAAATTTATAGGAAGTGTACCATTGAGGGTTTTATATTACTTGTGAATCTAGACTGTTATTTCATGATTTGGTGTTTTACCTATCCTATTATTTTACTTTGCAGACTGTATGCAAAAAAGTGGAGCAAAGTGAACGAGAAGTAGAGAAATTAATAAAGGATGTAAACAGATTAAAACAAGAAATTAAAAAAAGGCAACAAGCACAGATTCAGGCAGCACGTAAGTAAAATGTTAACACATCACTACTTTCCTTGCATTTCTCACTGATTGGAATTATGGATGGACCAACTGCGCTCACTGAAGAATATGTCCACTTTGGGATTAAAAGCAGTCATTTTATTAATACTCTTAAATTTTACCAAAAAAAGGAACTAGTACTATAGTAGGTATGCTGTATTTGTTGATATTAAAGCATATAACTTAAAATTTCATTTTCTCCTAGAATATTATGGCATAAAAATAGGAATTTGGGATTATACATGACATTATTCTCACTTTGAATAATTTGATAGAATTGTTGAAGTCTTTTTGACTCTTTTGACAAATAGCTAATTATAAAAGAACATGGAATTTTTATGGAATAAAAAATGTTGATCCTGTTGTTTTCTTTTGTGTAGGAGAGACGAATGTCCAAGAAGACCCTCAGGAGAACATTTTGCTTTGTCAGGCTTTACAGACCTTTTTTCCAGACAGTGAATTTCTTCATTCTTGTGTTATCTCTTTGACCAATAGGCATATTTCTAAAAGTAGGTGTAACACCAACCACCATCTGGATGTGGTTGACAACCTGACCTTAATGGTAGAGTATACCCATACTCCTGAAGCTAGCCCAGCTAGTACACCACCAACAACTAAGCGAAAAGCTATAGACATAGAGGACAGATGGAAAATGAAGAAATCACGATTGTTAAAGAGAGAACACAAACTATCTAAGACAGGTACTGATAGTAGTAACCAAGAAAAAGCATCCACAACCAGTAGCCCAGAAACAGATGAAGAGATTGAGAAAATGAAGGGTTCTGGTGAATATCCACTGTCTCCCACATTTTGATCCTTTTAACCCAAAATAAGACTTTTGATTTGGTCGAAGGGTAAAGACAAATGTTTATTATTTTTATTATATTCAGCTGTTCATAGTAATATAATATGTATTTTGTTTTTACTATGTTCACCTTTTTACAGTACTACATAGATAAGTTCTACTGCATTTATAAAGTACTTCCAAAAATATCAGATGCTTTTATTTATTTATATTTTTGTGGTGCTGGAGATTGAACCCAGGACTTTGCACATACTAGGCAAGTGCTGCACCACTGAGCTACACCCATAGCCCAAGATGTCTTTATTGTAAAATCAAAACTTTTCATCTTGCTTTCACAACTGTTGAGGGAAAGGCCTTAAAAAGGCACATTCTTTTAAACTAGTATGGCTCTTAGAAATGGGAAAGAGACTATTTTTCACAACATGGGAAGAAGCATAAAGTTCATGTGAAAATTTATATAATCTTTATGTCATTAACCTTATGTAAGTCATTAAGATTTTAGTCCTTATGCAGTGATACAAAGTATATTATTAAACTGGACATGATGGTACACGTGTGTAATCTTAGGTACTTGCTACTCTAAAGGCTGGGGTAGAAAGGTCACTTGTGCACAGAAGTTAGAGGCCATCCAGGGCAACATAGCACTCAAAAGTGTCATGACAGGTACGGTGGCAGTGGTGCACACCTGAAATCCCAGTAGCTTGGGAGTCTGAGGCAGGAAAATGGCAAGTTCAAAGCCAGCCTGAGCAACTTAGGCCCTAAGAAATTTAGTGAGACCCTATCTGTAAATAAAATATAATAAAAAGGCTGAGGGTATGGCTCACTAGTTAAGCACCCCTGGGTTCAATCTCTGGGACAAAAAAAAAAAAAAGTGTTTATGTGCAGTTGTATTTATATGTCTTCCATCACATGAAGGCTTTACCACCGGACATCATACTGAATATACACTTTGAACTTTGTACTCCTATTGCTTTTTAGAGACATTACTAAATAGAAAAAAATATATAATCTAGTAACAACTTGAATCTTCTGTGTTAACATGCATTAATTATTTATTATGGGATGTTTATGAATCCACATCATAAATCAGGATGACTTGTGTAGATTTCTAGTGTTGTTTTAACTTAAATAACTGGTACTGTACACAGCAGGAAGACAAGAATCAGTCTGAACCTTATTTGCAACACTGGAGTAAGAGAAGATGATTGGCAGTAGATTTATGCATTTGTCATCCCTTTATGTAAAGAATACTATCAGTTTAAGGATAGATTCATCCAGGAATAAATGTTTTGTCTTTCTGAGACAGCCCAGTGTACACCTCTGCAAAGAGAAGAGCCGCCCTCCTAACCAGGCACACTTACATTTGATAATTAGAAAATGATTTCAAGCATTTATAACTTCATGGGATCCAAACATTACATAAGAACTACACTTTGCTGCACCCATTTCCCTAAAGTCATCCCATCTGTAACACAGAATCTGACCCAAAGTAGTATTCCAACACAAGCCATCCCTCCCATATTTCCTATTCCTATAAGGGGTTCATTACTTTATGAATGAACTACTGGGGATATAAGTGACAATCAGACAGGACCACTTTTATTCAAGGTATGTACCATTTAATGAGTATTAACATTTTAAGTAAGCAACCTATTCTGTGAATAGTCATATAAAGGAGATGCTTCACTCCTGATCTCTTGAAACACTTTTCTTCGCAAAGGTTAGTTTGAGTCAGTAGAGGTCAATTTATTATAAAATAAGTTTATTGTTAATAACCTTATATCATTTATTCCCGATATTTGATGTTACAAACTTTAGGGTCTTTGAGATATGCAGGATCCTTGTATGTAACTGGCATAAACCCTGTAAAGAGATATTAAAGTTCTTCACAAAAAATAATGAGCAAACTTTTTACTAATTCAGTTGTTCAAGGCACACTTACCCATTATTTGAGCTCTCTTAATAGCTTTTGTAATTTCTTTCTGTTTCTTCCCACAAAGACCTATAAAAATTTAAAAAGAGCTGTTTTATTCGTAAAAATGCCAGTAGTCAAACTATAACAACTTGTAAGTCAAAGGTCAGATTTTCTTTTTTTTCTGTAAAGGGCCAGAATATTAATATTTTGGCCTTTGGGGCTATAGTCTCCATTCACAACTACTCTACTCTGCTGTTTTAACTACAAAGCAACCATAAGGCACTATGTAAATAAAACTACAAAAACAAGAGGCAGATTGGATCTAGTCTATCTGTGGACAGTCTGCGATCAACAAGTTTTAGTTTAGAATGTCTGAAGTATAATTCACAACATAAGGTATAATTTTTTTAAGCCCAAGTTTTTCACGTGGCCAGTGTATAGTTAACCCTGAGTGTTTTCCCTTAAGTACCTAAATCCAGTGTGGTCTAACAATGTAGTATCTGGTCTAATAGTGATTTATAACATGATCTGAAAATTTGCCAGTTTTCTTAAGTGACAGAGATAGATGTAATTCTTATTTAAATTGTTATGATTAAAAAATAAATACCTGTTATATGTCTTCCATAAATGCATCCAGTAAATGGAGAAATAAATTGGGATAGAAGCTGTGTTTAGAGTTTTATGTGGAGGGAAAAAAATTTATATTAATACATTGGTTATTCAACCCTGAATGTAAATTTCAAGGAAAAAAAAATCCATATACATGACTTTCAAGTAATATAAAGATCTAATAAGTTTTAGACAAATTTTAATTGAGATAATATCATATTAACAAGTCATCTCTCTAAATACTGAAAGTTAACATCTAATCCAGCATATCAAAAAGTCTATATAGCAATAACATTAATTAGCATATTCAGTCAATGCTAAAGCGGTATTGATAAACCACAGATATCCTTCTAAAATACTGCGCTTATAACAAGTTACCAAAATATTTCATCTATCATTATAAGCTATTACATACTCATGAAGATAAATTATCAGACTGAACTGGGATCTTCAAGAAGTACACGCATTGGGCCATTTTCTACAACTTATGTTCTATTAACTTAAATAACTGTTCACTTTGTAGGTGCCAGACACTGTTCTTAGCACTTTGCATAATCTTCCTCCTATACTGTATTCTAATAATTTTTTCCCTCAAAGACGGTTACAATTTATATTACCATCAGTACACTTAGCTCTCCAGCACCATTCACTCCCCCTAAATTTGCCACTTCTAATTTACTGAGAGTAAACAAGACAAAGCATTTGAAGCAGTGACAGGGATAGTGAGGTACAAAGATCAGCTTCACCAGAGGAACTTTTTTCCAAAGTATTTACATCTACCAAATGAGAATCACTGCTATGAAGAGCTATATTATCCAAACCTTTGGAGCATAGAAAATAGAGGAATTCTGAGCTAAAATAATAGTAAATAATTGAAGTTGAATAAAGATACCTTACAAATAGAATTATAACCAGATTTGAAATTATGAAGTTACTAAAATAGTTGCCTCTACATAAAACCTGTTATAAAACTGATTAATAACAAAAGTGCAAAAATCTAAAAATTAAGTATCAGAGTAAAACCAGATCTCACCTGTACATTTTTATAATCTACACGTTTCTCACACAAGATACATTTCTTAAGAGGCTCCTTATAAGGATTTTCCATTGGAACAGGCTAGGATAAAGAAAATCTCATGACATAATGTGATCTGGATTTGAAAAAATATATTAAAGTTAACAAATGTAAATCCATTCAAAGGCACACAGTACATTTCTTCCTGTGTACATATTTTGCACAAGCACTTTATTTTGTGTCAATTTGGCTTAAGAAGGAATTAACTCATGAAGATTCTGGAATAAAATATAAACTTTTTAGAAAAGAGTTTATAGGAGAAACAATGCAAGTCTGGTAAAAAAAAAAAAAAAGTGATTTTATGTTCAAATGCTTTTTTCCAATTACAGATGTTTAAACATTTTTAATTTAAATTCAATAAACTTCTTTAAACTAAGATAAACTTAAAGCAGAATAGATGACATGCTATTCCTATGTTAGTATAATCATTAAATAGTTTATTCATCCCCTTATTATGCTTTATCTATGCCCCAAAACTGTTCTATAAGTTAGTGTTAGCCTTTTTGACTTCTCTGTCTTCACTACGGTCTCTGATGCTTCTGTTATGCCTTCCTCCTACTGTCAGAATGTTTTGTCTCCAGTATGGAGGTGCTTAATCTAGAAATGTTTTTGAAGTCTACAATCCCCTGTAATTGTATGCAAAATTTTAAATGAATATGACCATGTCCCTTTTTCTGTAGAGAGGATCTATATCTTTCATTAGTCTCAGTGGGGTTTATGGCCTAAAAAAGGAGTAAACTTCCTTTATTCTCTTAAAGTATGGTGTGTGGATTAAATGACCAAGATAGATGCACAGAGGGAATAGATAAGTGCTTTTCTTTTTTCCCCATTTCTCAAACTTTCTTAGTCTGATTTATATTCAGCTCACATATAAAGACTATATTCCTTCTCAACACTGGCTAAGTGCTTTGTATGGGATGATTAGTGTCAAACAAATTACCTTTGCATGTAGTAAGGAAACCTATGCTGCCCAAGTCCATGATAGTACTTCAAACCCATAAAAATATAGGTTAGAGGAAACTATTAAATGTCCTGGTGTAAAACTTTAATTTTGATGCCACATTTATTAAGTCAGAATACCAAAAGTGACGATTGAAATAAAGGTAGGACAATCCCTTTGTTCAATTATATACAATTATTCTATTCACCTAAACTACCTTTTGAAATTCCCAAATAACATAATCTTATGTTTAATATCTAGGAAGAAAATATGGCAAGAAGCTATGCTTCTAACAAGAGTCTAGGAATTCTCTTACTTTGAAACTCACCTAGGAAACTATAATCAATGAGTTATAAGTTCCAAACTCAGAGTAATGATAATTATATTATTTTATCCTACAGCTGAACTCCAATTAGTTATAAAAATTTGGTCATATTTGCAAGTGCTTTACTAACATAAAGAAAAAAATTCTTACCAGGTCCTCATTGCTGGTTCCCTGTTTATATTGTGAACAACCTCTTCTCCACAGCACTGCAATTAAACAGAAACAGTAATAAACAGTTCCTTTTGTTAGCTGAGTAGCTAATAAGGATTTTTGTTTTAGCTCAGTGCAGTGAGTGTTTGTAATCCAGTTACTATAGAGCCTGAGGCAGGAGACTCAAAAGTTCAAAGCCAGTCTGGGCAACTTGGACCTGTGGCAAAATAAAATTTCAAAAGGATTGGACAAGTACTTCAGTGACAGGATGCTTGCCTAGCTTGAGGGAGGTCCTGGGTTGATCTCCAGTACCACACACACCAAAAAAAAGATGTATGGAGTTAAGACTAATCAAGGGACAAAACATAAAGGTTTTATAGTCTTTAAATTTGGGTCAGAATAAGACATAAAACGTGATTCCTAGGGGTTTAAGGATAGGGCATATATTTTCCTCCATAAAACCTTTCACCTGCTCTCTTCCTGACATTTACTCTTTTATTCCACAGTTATAGACAGATTTTAACACTAATACGTATAGAAACAAAAGAAAGGCACTGTTATACCAAAGGGAAAATGAAAAATGGATTCTTTCCAGAGAGTAATTATTGATAGCGAAGAATAAAGATAAACTTGCATAAATTATAGATTCGAGGACCTATGTCACAATTCCGCTCTGATCTGGGACCTTAGACCTCTGAAGTTCGTTGTTGGGTGACTGTGGAAATGTTCCTTTCTCCCCAAGTTTATACGTAAAATCTTAGGCAGGGCCCTCCCCTCGGTACAGAGGATTGAACCCTGGGGCTCTCTACTACTGGACTAGATCCCACTTTTTTTTTTTTTTAAAGCCAAGTTCTCGCTAAGTTGAGGAGACTGGACTTGGATTTGTGATCCTCCTGACTTAGCTCCCTGAGTAAATGATTACAGGCCTGCACCACCGGGCCAGCGCCCTTTTTACAGAATTATTCCACCCATCACTTTCCTTTTATGTTCAAAAATTTTTAAGGAGTTGACTTAACATCTCACGGCCCCATCAGGTCTAAAACAGCAGTCGTGGACATTACTGATTCCCACCCATTTCAGAAAAACTTTATCGCCTAGAAATCAGCTTCGTTTTGTTAACAGTGATGAGTCCACCGACTAATAGGGCCAAAGCAACGGCTATGGTGTTACAACGGAGACGTTACCCGCGCGAGTTCCGGGATTTGGGAGGCAGACAGTAGCCGTTATCCAATGTGTCAACTTCTTCCCTAAAGTACCGCAAGAAGCAATCACACCTGCCATGTTTCCTCGTTATTCCTTTTCCTTTCCTTTTTCTAAGTCGTCCAAATAGGTCCCTTCCGGTAATCTTCCCTGTGGACTCGAGGACTTCATTCTAAGGTTCCGTAGGCAAACGCGGAAAAACCGCGAAAGGGGGTTTCTTAGTGCGCCTGCGCAGCAGGTTATGAATCCCGCCCTCACCGCGCCAGAATCAAGTGACATTTGTGATTGGACCGAGAGGGCGAACGCCTAGCTTGTCTTCCAGGTTCCGGTCCGAGAGCCCTGGGAATAAGTTTGAGGTCTTTACGAAAGGTGGATGGAGACGCCAGCACTTTCTCCCTGTATCCACCTCCGCTCAGCCCTCCTTTCGAGGTCGGCGGCTGAGTCACTGTGGACAAAGTCGGGGCAGCGTTTTCGGACCCAGTCATGGAGGAAGGTTGTTCCCGCATCCGCCGGCGGGTGTCGGTCTGCAAAAGGAACCGCCCTAGCCTAGCAAGCACTTCTGCCATCCCCTCGGCGGCCCAGCTCCAGTCCCGCGATGAGCAGGAAGAGGAGGAGGAGATGGTAACCCGGAGCCGGCGGCGGAAAACCGTGGGCGTGCAACCTGTTGAGGTACAGCCCCATCAGCTCTCAAATTCCCCCGACGGCCTTGTCCTCCTTATGACCTTTGGGGCGCTGATACAAACCTGGGCCTCCTACTTCGCTTGCCCACCTAAAGGGGTGAGAAACCAGATAAAGAGGACGTGAAACTGCCAAATTGAGGCAGTTTCTTCCCAAGTGCGGACAATTTACCGGTTAGATAAAATACCTTTCGTTTCCTCCCTCACTTTTGTTACTGCTGTTGTAACTTATTTTGTTACTGCTGTTGTAACAATACTGAGGTATTGCCCAGTTATCCCCACTTCTATATAGACATGAAAGGTAGATACAAAAATTTTACATCCAGCAATTAAGTGACATAACTGAGACGCAAACCCAGACTTCGAAATTGCTACTGCTCCTACTTTACTAATAAAAGCTGTTTATTGAAGACCCATTACGCCCTAGTTACTGTGTTAAACAAGCTACATTATCTAGATTTTACAACAGTAATCAGACCCTAAGAAATTGAGAAACTACTTTCTCACTTCAAATTCTGTGTCGCTACACTCTTGCTGTCTCAAAGTGTCTCTTCTGTTCAGTAGAGCTCCCCAAGTCAGTGTACACGCATTCTGTATCAATTCCAAATTCAACAGAATTTCTCTGTAGTATATTGTGGTACAACTTTTTGTTGTAGGCCAGTCACTGCCTCAGAGGCTGGGATTGGAAGGGAGAGATGCAATTCCCAGAGGCTGTCGTTCTTGCAGTTGTTTAACAATTTAGCACAGGTTTAAGCATTAGAATCCTAGGGGCATTAGAGAGCCTGTGCCAGGCCATGGGTTCAATCCCCACCACCAAAAACCAAAGAAGTAGCCCAGTGTTGCTTCCAGGAGCACTTCTGGGCTTCCATGTTTCCATCTGTAAAATGGTAATAATTATATCTATTATAGGGTGGCTTACAGGACTTAAATATAATTATGTACTTGATACAGCCCTAGGCTGAAGATTTTATTATTTGCTTTAGTAATGAATTTTTTTTCATTCCACATTTTTTTAAATTTATTTTTTTAGTTGTAATTTGACACAATACCTTGATTTTATTTATTTTTATGTGGTGCTGGGGATCAAATGCAGGGCCTCACACATGGGAGGCAAGCACTGTACCGCTAAGCCACAACCCCAGCCTTCATTCCACATTTTTTATTTATGCATTTCAGTTGTATTTAAGATGGGATTTGTTGTTGCACGTTCGTACATGCACACAATATAACAATATGATTTGGCCAATATCACTTCCCAACACTTTCCCACTCCCTCTTTACTTCCCACTCCTTAGGCCCTTTCCTCTATTGATCTTCCTTTGATTTTCATGAAATTCCCCCACCCTACCCAGCCCTGTTTTCCTTTTTCCTCTGTAGTGAAACTTCTGTCAGTCATGAATCTGGAATTGCCTGTAAGTATTTTTGTTTTCTTTCCAGCATAATGACAGTGAAGAGGACATGTTTGGTGACTATGATAGCTTTACTGAAAACTCCTTTTTAGCTCAAGTTGATGATTTGGAACAGAAATACATACAACTTTCTGAACAAAGGAAGCATGCTACAGACTTTGCCACTGAAGATTTTTGTTCAGAAAGCATAAAAAACAAACTCAGTGTTACTACTGTAAGCAATTTTACTGAATACAAAAGTGATGAGCACACGGAGAACCAGACTGAGCATGAAGATGTCCCTGTTGAACCTGGAACTGATGTTTTGTATGATTTGCCGCCTTCTCAGGTTTTATACTTTGAAAATTTGCAAAACTCTTCAAATGATTTGGGTGATCAGTTGACTGAAAAAGGGGATGGGAGTTCATCCTTTCCCAATACTGTGAATGAAGAATTGTCCCATAATTGCATAAAGCAACAAGAGCAAAATGATGGATCCTCTTCTAAAGTCAGAAGTAATTCAGATACAAGTAGGAGAAAAAGTATTAAAGATCATCTAAAAAGTACCATGACTGGAAATGCAAAGGCCCAAACACCAATATTTTCTAGGAGTAAACAGCTCAAAGAGACTCTCCTATCTGAAGAAATTAATGTTGCTAAGAAAACAATTGAGTCTTCATCAGATGATCTTGGTCCTTTTTACTCATTGCCCAGCAAAGTGAGAGACCTTTATGTTCAGTTCAAAGGAATTGAAAAGTTATATGGTAATGCTTTTTTTCTGGAATAAAAACAAAATTCTCCATTATCATAAAATTAGTGTAAATCAATAGAAGCAAATGCTTCCATGATTATATTTCTTATTTTGAAAAGTCCAGTATTATTTGTCTCAATCTTCCATCCCTATCCTGTCACCTTGAACCTCTTTTCTTCCCTTCATACTCAAACATTTCTCAAACCGTTTTTTGTGCTTATTTAATTTTTCCTTATTTTGAAGTATTTCTTTGGCCCACTCCAATTCCGGGTTCTGTACTCTTGCCTGAGAAATGATGATTATGGTATCTAAACTCAATGGTAGTTCCAATATTTAACCTACCTGACTTCTTGGTAGCTTACCTGCAGATATTGACCACACTGTTCTTGAATTTTTTGACACCCTGTTTCTGTTTTTTCTTTGATTATCTAGCTGTACACAGTTTTCTTAGCTGGCATTAGCTAGCTTTGTTTTCTCTACCAAATTTAGTTGAAATTTCTTTGAACATTCTCATGTCTTGAATGAAGAAGTTAATAATCCTATTGATTAAAATTAAGCATGTTAAAAGACAGTGCCATTAATATTTAAGTGAAAAAAAACATTGTAGCAGAGTAATAATGTACTTTATGTTTTTTTAAAAATCTGGGTCCTTTCACATCATTTTAAACAAAGAAGGGATGGTTGCTGCCGTACTAAGAGATCAGTTCATCAACCTATCACTGTATTAGTATTTCTGGAACTCCTGTTGGGATCTTAGGAGCTGTATGAAAATGTGGGTTTTCAAGAAGACAATCAGGTTGGAGAAGCAGGACTACAGGAAATAAAGTCTCTACAAGAGTAATATAATCATTGTAAATATTTGGGACTCACTAAACAAAACAACAAATAATTTTTAACACTTATTCAGACATAACTATTTTAAATAGCTTTGTAAATATCCTATAAACCATTCCTTTAATTCTTAAAAAAACTATATTTAAGCCCAACTTATGAATAATTTTTTTCAAATATTTGCACATGCTTTGGTTCATGTTCAACACATTTATGATCTTTTTTAACTATATATTGAACATATAAAAATTGTCCACATATGGATTTCATTTTTTTTTTTTACTTATCTGTTTATTTGGTACCAGGACCTCACACATGATCACTTTTCTACTGGGCTACACCCACAGCTTTTTAATTTTATTTTGAGACAGTCTTGCTAAATTGCCAAGTTGCCCTTGAACTTTTGCTCTTCCTCCCTCAGCCTCCCAAGTAGCAGGGATTGCAGGTGTGCACCACCACACATGGCTTGTATTTTTATTTCTGATACTGCTAGATTACTTTCCAAAAAGATTGTAGTAGTTTATGTTCTCACAAACTATACAGAAGAACACCTGTTCTTACTCTAGTCAGCTCTAAATTTCACAAGCATGGGACATTTATTTTTTATTTATTTATTTATTTATTTTTTATAATTTGTTTACTTTTCCAACCTAACAGATTATAGTTGAGCATATTTTATGTAATTATTGGCCACTTGCAATTCTTCCTGTTGTGAAATATGTCATTTGCTTTTCTTCTGATAAAATGCTAATGCATATTTTTGAAGATTTTTAATGTTCTGCCTTGTCAAATTACTGTGGAGTAACTATTATAGTTTTCACATCATATCTTGAATCTGATCTGTTTTCATGAATCCCATTTTTGCAAATTGTGGGAATTGACTGCCAGGTAGTAATCTTTACCTTTTATGATTTAAACAATTCTGTCAGTTTAAAGTAGTTTCCATTCCATATGAAGTTCAAGTCCCCAAGTTTGTGCAGAATCTCATAGGGTTTTTTGTTTGTTTGTTTTGTTTTGTTTTTTTGTTGTTTTGGTTTGGGTTTTTTGGGGGGTTTTTTTGTTGTTGTTTTTGGTTTGGTTTTGCTTTGTTTTATTTCTCCTCCTCCTTCTGTTTCTCTTTAAAATGGCTTTTAGGTAAACGAGGAAGGTAAGCTTACATATTCTGCTTACAGGATGTAAAAGGAAGAACTTAAAAGTCCCACAGGTCCTTTTACTGTCCTTTTGATCCTCTGATGTTCTAAATGACATGCCCTTGTCCACCGGGCTGCCCTGTTAGAATCTTACAACAAATCTCCAGCTGGTGATGAGGTAGAGTAGTTGTTCACACTGTTAAGTAGGCCTGAACTAAATTCTTACTGGCTGTCCACATTGCGCATTTGGTATTTTTGACATTTAACATAGATTATAACTGCATTTGCTTCTAGGAGAAGATTGCCACAAGACGAAGGAGTTTATTTTTACCTTCTTGGAAAACTTCCTTGAGATTAACAATAAGAAAAGAGGAAATAATTTCTGTTTTTTCTCTGTAATTCCACAGAATGGCAACATACTTGCTTAACACTGAGTTCTGTGCAAGAAAGAAAAAATTTAATATATTCCTTACCAACAAGTGGTGGAAAAACCCTTGTGGCCGAGATTTTAATGCTACAAGAACTGCTTTGCAGGCGGAAGGATGTTTTAATGATCCTTCCATATGTGGCAATTGTCCAAGAAAAGGTGTGTTTAAAAAAAAGTGTTATTTGCTAATATTATTGTAACATTAAGATCTAAACATCAGCATAAACACTACTAATGACTTTTACTGACTATAAAGCAGTACCTCTTTGTGATAATAATAGAACATTCTATCTTAAATATTTACTACTTTGTAATTTATTGACATTTTTATTATACTAACATACTGTATTCATCAGTCTGATTATTATGTGAAACTGCTTAGTAACTATATAATAAATATTAATTTATATATATACACACACACACAATTCAGTAGTACTTTTAGGATGTACAAAAGCAACAGAATACTTACCTAAAATCTCTTCTAGTACTAGTTTTATTTTTTTAATTGTGGATTGAATTCTACCCTAAATGTTCTATTACTATTTAGCCTGTTTCTAAGGCAAAAAATAACCAATTTGTATAAAACAAATGAGTTATTCTGATACTTTTTTTGACATCAAAAGAGGAAGTTTATTTTCACATTTATTATGTGGTTTAAACATTGCATTTATTTTGCAAAGATCAACACCTTATTTTTATGATATTTATTAGATATGTGTGTCTAATCTGACCCATTCCCATTGACTGATATTAAACACCACTTTAGCTTTTCTTTTTTAAATCCTTGTGAGCACTTAATAATTAGAGTTCTTTCTGTTTTGTTTTTGTTCATTTTAACTAATATTCTAGATTTCAGGTTTGTCAAGTTTTGCTATAGAACTAGGTTTCTTTGTTGAAGAATATGCTGGAAGCAAAGGAAGATTTCCTCCAATTAAAAGAAGGGAAAAGAAATCGCTATATATTGCCACTATTGAAAAAGGACATAGCTTGGTGAACTCCTTGATCGAAACTGGAAGGATTGACAGTCTGGGTCTGGTTGTTGTAGATGAGGTTGGTTACTACTTTGTAATTTATTGACATTTTTATTGTACTAACGTACTATATTCATCAATCTGATTATTATGTGAATCTGCTTAGTATCTATATAACAAAAAGCATTTTGATATATACAATTCAGGTGAAGATATTTCATACTTGATAATCTTAAATTTGGTTTTATGTCAAGTGTTTCTTGCAGTGCAAATATTTGTATTTATAGACAGTTTTATAATATTACTTATGAATCTCTGATTTGTTAGTGTTTCCCCCAAAACTCATTAACTTAAAATACCAGTGGATTAATATATATGTACTATAGTTGTTATATTCAAAATGTTGAAAAGTTATAAAGCAAGGATTATATATTCATTCTATACAAATATATTCATGGTTTATGTGGGCATTGTATGAAGATTTACTTCTCCAACCCTTTTCTTTTCATTTCAAAGTTGCACATGATTGGTGAAGGGAGCCGGGGTGCTATACTGGAAATGACCCTAGCAAAAATTCTCTACACCAGCAGTAAGTATTTATTGACTTCTAATCAAAATACCTATATATAAATAACTTAATTCTACCAGTAGATTATGTAACCTATAGCAAGATTCTTAAGCTTTCTGCCTTAGGGTGGGGTGGTTTTTTTTTTTTTAATTTCTAAAGTAAATATATAAATTTTTGTTGAATGAGTAGAATTCTTTTATTTGGTGGTGGATGGGGCAGTACCCAGGATTGAACTCAGGGGCACTCAACCACTGAGTCACATTCCCAGCCCAGTTTTATATTTTGTTAGAGACAGGGTCTCACTGAGTTGCTTAGTGCCTCAAAGATGCTGAGGCTGGCATTGAACTCACGATCCTCCTGTCTCAGCTGCCCGAGCTGCTGGGATTACATATGTGTGCCACTGCGCAATAGGAATGAGTACATTAGTATTTAAGGAATACCTCTTATTCCTGTACACTCATTAGGTCTGTTTGCATAGTCACATCACTCAACTTTTGTGTTTCTTTATCTATGGAGATAATAACAGCTTCAACCTGAGGAGAGAATTGTGAGTGTTATGAGTTAAAACATTTAAAGCATTCCACAGTGCCTGGACCATTCCACTCAGGAAGGATGTCATAACTATCATCATCATCCCAATAAAGTAGGATATTTAAGTGGTTACTTTAAGGAACTAGTTTGCAACATCAAATAGTCTTTAAATGTACATGAAATATTTATTCTAAATGTCATCTCTACATTTATTGATATAATGCTGTAATACTTAGCCTGTATATGGAATAGTTATTAACAATAAAATCAAATCTTAAGATTTGTGGATGGAGATGCTGGGGATTGAACTCAGGGCCTCACACTTGCTAAGTGCATGCTCCACTACTGAGCTACACGCTCAGCTTCCCCAAATTAATTTTGACAGCAGCTGTATTTAGGTAGGTTACAGCACTTTAAAATCATTCATTTAAAAAAAAAAATTATTGAACACTTACTGTAAATACAGCAGTAAATAGAACAAATCCCTTCTTTCATCAAGCCTATATTTTAATGAAAGTGAACAGATAATGAGCAAATGAATAAGAAGACATATGGTGGCCAGGTGTGGTGGTGACACATCTGGAATTCCAACTACTTCAAAGACTGAGTCAGGAAAATTGCAAGTTTGAGACTAGCCTGGTCAGTTTATCAAGATCCTGTCTCAAAAATAAATAAAGGGCTGGGGATGTGGCTCAAGCGGTAGCGCGCTCACCTGGCATGTGTGCAGCCCGGGTTCGATCCTCAGCACCACATACAAACAAAGATGTTGTGTCCGCCAATAACTAAAAGAAATAAATATTTAAAAATAAATAAATAAATAAAAAGGGTTAGGGATGTAGCTCAATGGTTAAAACCTGCCTGGTTTCAAAAGAAGAAGAAAAGATGGTTTGTTAATGGTCATAAATTCTGTAGGACTTAAAGAAGAGGAAGAGAGGAAATGATCACCTATTTGTCAAATTCAATGAACATCTTAATTTTATTTCAGTGTTTGACTATTTTTCGTTTGTGTGCAGAAACATTTTCTCTTGACTTTCCTACTATCTCTTTGTAAGTGGGATCATAGCTTAGCATTGAAAGATAGCAGAGCATAATGGCTGAAGACAGACTTTTTGAATCTTGGCTCACTTTTCTACATGACCTTGGGCAAGTTATATCAACAGTGCCTATGCTTCCTTAGGAATTAAATGTGGATGAGAGTAATAGAACTTTTCTCACTGAATTGCTGCAAAGATGACACAGGTTAGTCTTTGTAAAACATCTGTACCTGCTACATGATGTTTGCTATTGTATAATTTGGCCTATCACCAGTGCCTTACGCTTAATAGATATTTGAATAAAATTAACCTTTTTAGTGGCTCCTTCTTTTTATTCTGTGTCATAGCTAAGCTTATTCATTTTGTACATTTTAGTTAGCATGAATTCATCTTAGGCTTTTCACATGTTTCCTATAGTGCCTACTAATTGTCATCCATACTCCTGACTTCAAGGACTACTTGTGTGCCAGTGACTCCTAGTCTGTATTTCCCAGTCTGTGTTTCCAGACTATAACTCTCTTCTGAAAAATATCAGCTGCCAACTGGAGACTCATGTTTGAATGTTCTGTGAGCAACCAAGCCTAACCAAAGCTTGGTCAGAGACTCACTCATTTCCTTCAAACTCATTCTTCAATCTGAATCCTTAGCCAGCCAAGTTAGACCTCACCACCACCACCACCAGCCCACCCCCGCTTGCATTGTAGCCCCATCAGACCTCAAACTCCTGGACTCAAATGATTCTCCCACCTCAGCTGGATAAAATCTTACAGTCTTCACACTTCCTATCTGATTTACCTCATGAATGTATTTTAAATTATTTTCTTTCTGCCCCTTTTCACTACTGCCTCTTTAATTCAAGACCTCACCCTTTACTTACCTGGATTGCTACAGAAAGTACCAAGCTTCTCCTTTGTTCTTTCTTCTGCACTGTCTAATGTAGAATCAATAATCTTTCCCAGAAGCAATTAGTTTATTTTACTATTTGCCATCCTTTAATAGCTTCCCTTTGTTTTCTGCGTAAATCCCAAAATTCATAGCACTGCCTTTTTGATTTGACCCTCTGCTCACCTCTTCAGATTCAGAGTCCACCTTAATGAAGTAGGAAGGAATAGCACTTAGTTCTTTTTCAGATAAGATCCTGAATGATCCCTTCAAAACAAGAGAGTAGCAATGAAGAAACATTTGCTAAAAAGGCTTCTTGGGTTTTTAATTTGGTAGCTAAGTACAAAAGCAACCATTTTTTACTCCTAGGAATTCATAGAACTTCATGAGCTTCAATGTATTTTTAAAAATTTTTGAAAAAGTTGGCAACCTGATAGCAAGATTACCTGAAGAACTTTCAAGTTGCAAGAGTTTTGGACTCATTTAGCCCTATATCCTACAAGTGTCCATCACCCAAAGAAACATACTGTAACTTCTCATAAAGATGATTCAGATAGCCACATACGCATTTATACCCATTATTTTTGTTTAAAAGCCTTAATAAATATCCTACTTCTTGCCACATTTGAAATTTTATAAAATTCTAAGTAATAACTCTCAGGATTCCTGAAAGATTGCATTATTTGATTGCCAGATTAATATTCTGGTCAAATGTAGTTTGAGCATTCCCAATCTGAAAACCAAAAATATGAAGTGTGTCATAATCCAAAACTTGAGGGCCAAGACAATGCTACAAGTGGAAAATTTCACTGACCTCATATGATGGTCATAATATTCCTGCTTGAAGGTTCTATGAGCAACCAAGACTAAGTCAAAATGCAGGTACACTAAAATATTATGTAAAATTACCTTCAAACTACGTGTATAAGATGCTTATGAAATAAATGAATTTTTTGTTTAGTCTTTGGTCCACCTCCCTAAGATATTTCTTTATGTATATTCAAATATTCAAAAATCTGACAAATCAAAAATCTGAAACAATTCTTTTACCAAGCATTTCAGATAAAGTGTATTCAACCTGTATTTTTAGTTTTCTTACTCTCTCCCCACTTCCCCTTTCCCATATTACTCAGGAAATATTCAGAGCATAAAATATTGCTAAATTGTTTTATGATATATTAAATGCTGCATTTTCTTAATACTTTTAAGATTTTTTTGTTTTTGTTTCAGAAACAACTCAGATTATTGGTATGAGTGCAACATTAAACAACGTTGAAGACCTCCAACAGTTCCTTCAAGCAGAATATTATACCAGTCAGTTTAGACCAGTATGTACCCTAAGGTTTGCACTGTATTGATTTGTTATATATTCATATTAGAAATAAAAGTAAATATAGTATATTTTAAAATTCTATAGGGTAATGAAGGGGCATAACTGCACTCACCATAGTATATGCTAATAGTTTGTATATAGAGAATATTAATTCTGTGAGGTCATGGATCTTGGCTTGGGTCCCTAATGTATCCATAGCACTGGGAATAATGCCTGGCCTATGTTGCCTCAGTGAACATTTATTGAGTGAAATTTTTTAAAATATTTTTTTTAGTTATTGATAGACCTTTATTATTTTTTATTTATCTATATGTGGTGCTGAGAATCGAATCCAGTGCCTCACACATACCAGGCAAGTGCGCTACTGCTGAGCCCCAGCCCCAGCCCATATTGAGTGAATTTATTCAGACTATTTTTTCACTTCTTATTTTCTAAAGTAAATTATTAGCTGGCGACAGTTTAGTGAGATGTGCTTGGAGTTACTGACACATTGAAGATTTTATCTTAAAATATTTTCAAGTAGCTATGTTTTGGTAGTTATTCTTTCTTAATAAGTTAAGACTTAACATGCATTTAAATTTAAACTCCTCAGTAATAACGTTCCCAAGGTATTTGAAGGAAATAAACAAACATACTTCATATTTATTTGAAAATATCTCATACATGTACTGCCTGTCTACAGTAATAGTACACATGTTCTTTGTCTTAAGTAGGCTTTCAGAAAATAATGTTTGAAAAACACCAGTTCTTAATTTGAAATATAATATTTTTACATTCCAAATTTGAAAACTTTCTAGAAATAGGTTTTAAGGTGGGCATGGTGGTGCATGACTATAATCCCAGTAACTTGAGAGACTGAGGGAGGAGGATCACAAGTTTGAAGCCAGCCTCAGCAACTCAATGAGGCCCTAAATAATTTATTGAGAAACTATCTCAAAATTTTTAAAAATGAAAAGGGCTGGGGATGTGACATTGGATCTAATCCCCAGGGAATATTTTCAAATATTTTTGAAAAAAATATTTTAAAAAAAGAAATATTTTTTGAACTTTACATTAGACACTATCTTTTTTTTATTTTTTGGTACCAGGAATTGAACTCAAGGGCATTCAACCACTGAATCACATCCCCAGCCCCATTTTGTATTTTATTTAGAGACAGGGTCTCACTGAGTTGCTAAGCACCTCATCATTGCCGAGGCTGGCTTTGAACTTGTGGTCCTCCTGACTTTTCCCAAGGCACTGGGATTACAGGCATGTGTGAACATGCCTAGCTTAGACACTGTTCTTTTAAAAATGAAATGAGATGTGTTCACAAACTATTTTTGTCCACAAATACTTAAATTAAAAATAATATGTTGGTGTTTGGAATTAAAGCTGATGACTAACATAGGAAGTTTTAGATCTTAAGAGAGAAGGTAATTCCTTTACAGAAGATAAAGGATGTAAGCACTGTGACTCCCTTGTACTTCTTGTAACAAATACCAAAGCATTTTCCTTTTGGACATTAGACTACTTAATTCAAATCTTTCTTCAAAAGTATTAATCCCTATGTTGATTTAAAGAGGCAATAAAGAAATGGTAAAGCAAGAACTTTACCATTTTAAGTTGAAACATATTTTAGATATCTTAAAAAAGCTAAAATCTTTGCATAGCTGTCCTTTCTATATCATATTTCACAAAATTTAAAATTGAAGCTATGTGGTATTAATTGCAATGTTTTAAAATTCAAGGTTGAACTAAAAGAATATCTGAAAATAAATGATACAATATATGAGGTCGACAGCAAAGCTGACAGTGGCATGACTTTTTCACGTCTCCTCAATTATAAGGTAATGTTTATAACCTTTATATCCCAGGTTCCTGTACTTTGCCCATGTGTGCTGGGACATCACAGAAGATTTGCATGGATGCCATGAGACAGTTTAAATTTTTGAGAAAAATGGCTCATATCTGACATATGTTGGACAAGATACGACTGATTCAGTGTAGCTAGTTTCCAGTTTTAACACCATATCACCTTATCTTCCTTTCTGTGACACTAAATACTTGTGAAGTTGTGTTTGTGTGGGTTTTGTGTATGTGTGTATGGTGCTGAGTATCAAACCCAAGACTTTACAGCAATTACTGCACCATTGACCTAAACCGTGGGCACTAAAGTTGGGGTTTTTGTAGTCACTGTAAGCCAATGCCATGTGAAAATTAACCTGGAACAGAAGAAGGCAGCTGTGTTTAGTTTCATTCCAAAGTTATAAAGACAGTACCAAGTTTGTACGTATCCCTTTATTGAGTTATTTGAGAATTAAATTTTTTTAAAATTCAAGTGCTACTAAGTTGTGAGGAAGTATGGATCTATTAAATTGTTTGGATCTAATAAAACTGTTATGTATATCTTTTTACCTTGGAGTTCTGTGAACCAAGAAAATTTGGAAACTTCTATAAATGTTTATTTATTTAGCAGTAACAACAAAAGAATAATTCATGGTCCAGGTAGGTCAGATATTGGTGCATAAAAATGTTAATTTCTACTGTGTTAATGTATTGTGACTTTTATGAGGAATACTGAAAAGAGGAGAAAGGAATTTTATAGCAATCTTAAAATTCTTTAAGATATCCTAAATCTACATCTTAATTCATTTTCAGTAAAGTAAAATGAACTGAGATCTTATATAACTTTACCTTTCATGTTCTTTGAATTCCTCATGCCTGTTTAATGTTACAAAAAAATCATAGTTCAGTGTTAAATTTTTTTTATTTTTTAAAGTCTGTCCTTTAGTATTAGTGAATCTGTGTTTAAAAAATATATATTTGAAATTGTAGAGGATATGTCTTATGCAGTCCTTTGACAATATTAGGATCAATCTATGTTTCTCTCTGGACTCTTGTTCTGCTTTGGTGGATATAGATATGTAGTAGAGTTATTAATAATATTAACCGTTTTCACTTCTGCTTTTTTTGCCATCAGGGATTGAACTCAGGGGCACTCAACCACTGAGCCACGTCCCTACTACTTTTTTGTATTTTATTTAGAGACAGGGTCTCACTGAGTTGCTTTGCGCCTTGCTGTTGCTGAGGCCGGCTTTGAACTCAAAATTCTCCTGCCCCAGTCTCCCAAGCCACTGGGATTACAGGTGTGCATCACCATGCCCAGCTCCATTATCACTTCTTGAATTTAATTCATTTTTTATACCTTTTTTTAAAAATTAAATATACCCAGTAATCAAATCTCTAACAAATAACCTAAAAGTGAAATTTTGATATATTGTGTAGGTTTTCTCTTTTCTTTGAAATGATAAGATTAATTAAATGATAAATTCAGAATTATGGATTATTTGTTTATCTTTTAAACACACAGGTTAAAAAAAAAAAAAAGGACAGACTTTCAGGGGGGCTGGGGTTGTGGCTCAGCAGTAGAGGGCTTGCCCTGGGTTCAATCCTCAGCACCACATAAAAATAAATAAATAAAATAAAGGTATAAAAAATTTGTTTTAAAAATGGTAGGCTTTCATGGTTTCTAACTATCTGGTTTCTACATCTTATTGTTTTGCAGTATTCTGATACCTTGAAAAAGATGGATCCTGATCATTTGGTAGCATTGGTAACAGAAGTTATTCCCAATTATTCTTGCTTAGTTTTTTGTCCCAGTAAAAAGAACTGTGAAAATGTAGCAGAAATGATATGCAAATTTTTAAGCAAGTATGTTAATCATTTAAAAATATTTTGTTTTATTTTTATCATGAATTATGGACTATGTTATATTTATTGAATAAGCACTGACTACTTCTTGCAGAACACTGTATTCAGTTGTTATCCTAAATTTTGAAGGAAATGACCGTAAAGAAAGAAAACTTAACTGTGAAATTCACATGTGAATTTTTGTAGAGGTTTTACATGTGAAATGGAAAAATTCTAAGGTTACATGTAAGCTAATGCTGGCCAATGTAAAGGCTGAGATCAGTGATTGGAAATATTGGCTGCCCTGTGAATTATGTTGGAAATTAAAAAATTCTAGTGTCCAGGATACATCTTAGACAAATCAGAATCTGGGAGCAGGACCCAGGCAAGTCCAGCATACAGCCAAGGTCAAGAACTACTATCTTAGATAGTCAAAAAGGACTAATCATTACAATGATTATGGGATAAATCGTATCCCATATTCAGCTTAAACTTCTCTTTAATTACATACCGTTGCCTTTGTTTTCTTAGTCATTTTCACACTTAAGTAATTTGGACATTTGAATTTAATTTTCTAAGTAATTAAGAAATTAAGTCTTGGACTGGGGTTATGGCTCAGTGGTAGAGCACTTGACTAGGATGTGTGAGGCCCTGGGTTTGATCCTCAGCACCATATAAACATAAATAAATAAAGATATTGAGTCCAACTAAAACTAAAAAATAAATATTAAAAAAAAAGAAATTAAGTCTTGGTTTGTAATTTTATGATTTTTTTTTTTTTAGAGAGAGAGAGAATTTTAATATTTATTTTTTAGTTTTCGGCGGACACAACATTTTTGTTTGTATGTGGTGCTGAGGGTCGAACCCGGGCCGCACGCATGCCAGGCGGAGAGTGCTACCGCTTGAGCCACATCCCCAGCCCATGATTTTTTTTAACATTGGCTCTGTTGTACCCATAGAGATAAGTATAAAATGTCTTTACAAGTAGTTCAGTTTTTTTCTCCACATGTTACTCTTGTGTGGTTTTATCATTTTTTTCAGACTCTTTTTGGCCCCTTAGCCAGTGACTATTAACCTGGATCCTAATCTAGTCACCTTCCATCTACCCTTCCAATCCTATTGTAGAGATTAGTCTAATATAGAATTGATTTTATTGAATATTATAAGAATATAAATGTTTTGGAATAAGATTAAGGAGTTGCTCTTTTCAGTAAATGATAGTGTGCCTTTATAATGATGATTTTAAAAAAAAAAAACTAAGGAAGTTAAATTAGCATTGAAGTAAGGCAAGTATTCTACCACTGAACTATATACCCAGCCCAAGAGTTCATATTTCTACTGGATCTGTATTTTAAGGGAATATCTGAAACAAAGGGAGAAAGAAAAATGCGAGTTGATTAAGAACTTGAGGAACATGAGCAGTGGCAACGTGTGTCCTGTCTTAAAGCACACCATCCCATTCGGAGTTGCCTACCACCACAGTGGTTTAACAAATGATGAAAGGAGGCTCCTGGAGGAGGCCTATTCCACAGGCACTCTCTGCCTTTTTACCTGCACATCCACCCTAGCAGCAGGTGTCAACCTACCAGCAAGAAGGTAAGAGATAAGAATGTGTTGGCCAGGCTCACAACTTTTTAATTCCCAAATTATGAAGAGTTTTGGTATTGTTTTACTCCCTTAGTAGTGGTGGGAATTTATCATATGTGTTTGTTTTTGGTTTTGCTTTGTTTTTTTGAGCATTTGCTGAGTCAATTGTTGTTGTTTTTTTTCCTTTAATCCTTTTTTTTTTTTTTTTTGGTACTGGGCATTGAACTCAGGGGAACTCAACCATTGATCCACAACCCCAACCCTATTTTGTATTTTATTTAGAGACAGGGCTCACTAAGTTGCTTAATGCCTTGCTATTACTAAGGCTGGCTTTGAACCCACAATCCTCCTGCCTCAGCCTCCTGAGCTGCTGGAATTACAGGCATGTGCCACCACACCTGGCTTCCTTTAATATTTTAATGAAAAATAGCATTAGCAGATTTCCTGATATTAGAATTCTTTCCTGCTTTTCTTTTTTCCCCATCTGTTTCTTGGGTTTTTTGTTTGTTTGTTTTTGGTACCAGGGATTGAACTCAGGGGCACTCAACCACTGAGCCACATCCCCATCCCTATTTTGTATTTTATTTAGAGACAGGGTCTCACTGAGTTACTTAGTACCTTGCTTTTGCTGAGGCTGGCTTTGGGAACTCTCAATCCTCCTGCCTCAGTCTACCAGGCCACTAGGATTACAGGTATGCTCCACCATGCCCAGCCCTATCTGGTTTTAATGTTAGGATCTATTATTCTAGTTGTATAGACAGTTGGCAAGCTTTTTCCTTTTTTTTTTTTTTTTTTTTTTTTCCTATTGATCTGAAAGAGTTTAACAAAGACTTCCTCAAAAACCTTGGGGAATTGATTCATAAGCCATTTAATTGTGAATTCTTTTTATTTTTTATTTATTTATTTTTTGGTACCAGGAATTAAACATCCAGGGGCGCTCAACCATTGAGTCACATCCCCAGTCCTTTTTTATATTTCATTTAGAGACAGGGTTTCACTAAGTTGCATAGGGCCTCCCTACATTACTGAGGTTGGCCTTGAACTCACAATCCTTCTGCCTCAGCCTCCCAAATGGCTGGGATTACAGGTGTGCACCACCACACTGAGCTAAATGATCAATTTTTTATCAGTGTTAAAAGATGCAACTAATTAGAACAACAACAACAAAAAAAAAAGCGAGTTAAAAAAAATGTATATATTTTCTGTTGGGAATACATGTTTATATCTCCCAATCAGATCATAATTGTTTTATCATCTTACTAGTTTTGATTCCTTGGTCTATCAATTTCAGAGAAGTATGTTCATCTCCCACTTATGAAACTGTCAGTGTCTTCTTTTTGCATTTCTAGAAATTTTTGCTTTTAATATTTCAAAACTATTCAGGTATACCAAGATTTACTTCAAATATGTTATTACTGAATTATCAGTATATAATATACTTTTATCAGTACAACAGACCTTGTTTTACTCTTAATGATTTTGCTTTGAATATGAGGACCCGTATTTTACTCATTATCTTTGTTCATTTATTTTCAAATCCTATCACCAATTTTTTTTTAGTTTTTCAGAAAATTGAAGGAAAAAAAAGGAAGCAATACATCATATTTCTATTATTCTAGGGGTTACTCTTCCAATTTTAACAGTTTTATTCAAACATTTTTAAGCACTTTAGAATCAATAACTATCCTCTTCTGAGCATAACAAGAGTCTTAGCATTTGTATATTCTATTTTACCCTATGTATGTTCCTGTTACCTAGAATCTTACCTTATTTCAAAATGTTTTTTATCTTATGAACAATAATCATTTAAACTGACCTATAAATTGTACTTGTTTTTGGCTTACCACTATCTCTTGTATTCCACTTCTTCCTTCTATGATTCCTTTTTTAATTTTTTCATCCTTAAGTAATTATTTTTAAAATACTGCATTGGAGGTTAAAAATTTTGAGTCTTTGCATAGCTGAAGTTGTCTGTTTGGGCCTCACACTTTAAATAACTTCCATAGGAAAAGAATTCTAGGTTCAATTGTTTTTTTCCTTTTGGGTATTGTAGATATTGTTCCATGTCTTCTAGGTGATGCTTATTTTTGTTTCTGATGAATTTGCAGCTTTCTCCTCTCTAGAAGCTTTTAGACTTTTTAACCTTAAAATTTCATCATGGTGTGAAATAATAACTGCAGTTCTTACAAGTCCTCCCTCCCCATATAGTAACTGCTTTATATGCCTTTATGGTTTATGCTTTAAATACTTTCAGTCTTCACAACTCATCTGTAAGAAGGCTCATTACCTATATATTTCTTTTTTCTTTTCTTTTTTTTTTTGTGTGTGTATGTGTGTGTGTGTGGTACTGAGGATTGAGCTTAGGGATGCTGTGCCACTGAACTATATCCCCAGCCACCTGCACCCTCACCCCCACCCCTGGCTTTTTTTTTTTTTTTTAATTTTTATTTTAATACAGGGTTTCACTAAGTTGCCAAGGCTGGCCTCAAATTTGTAGATCCTCCTACCCCAACCTTCCAAGTGGCTGGAATAACAAGTGTGTACCATCACACCCAGCTGTTACCCACATTTTACAGAAGGGAAAATTGGGGCATGGAATAATTAAATAATTTACCAAACCTCATACCCAATGACTGAATTTCAGTGTTGAGATTTGTATCCAGGAAATCTGATTCTTAACAGTTTCAACTTACCTGCTTGTCATTCATAGGGTTTGGCATTTGGGTGGTTTTCAATCTGGGGCTTTACACCTTTCTTCAATGTAAACTAATTTGGGCGGTTATTTCTCTATTTCTTTCTCCCATTATCTCTGTTCTCTGCTTTTGTAACTTCAGTTAGACAAAGTTAAGGCTTCCAATTCTCTTTAATTACACATTTTCAGTCTATCTGAGCTATGCAATTTCTTCAACTTTACTTTCCACATCAAAAAATCAGTTTTTTGCTGGGTGTGGTGATACATAGTGGTAATAGTGACTTGGGAGGCTGAGGCAGGAGGATCACAAGTTTAAGGCTGGCCTCATCAAGTTAGCAAGAACTTAAGCAACTTAGACTTTGTCTCAAAATAGAAAATAAAAAGGGCTAGGAATGTAGGTCAGTGGTAAAGTACCCCTGGGTTCACTTGCCAGTACTGCAACAACAACAAAAATCAATTTTTAGTCATATCCTTTTGCTTTGTTCATTCTTTACTCAACAGTTCAGTAGAATTTTTTAATGAAGTTTTAATTTCCAAAAATTCTCTATTATGGCACTTTCTTATAACAATATACTCTCATTCTTAACATAATCTCTCTGGAATTTTCTATGGATACTAATTAGAACTTCTAAAAATTCTCTACCATTTTGTTTTATCAATTTTAGACATTTATTCTATATGTTCTTGTTTTTCTTCTATATTGTTAGTTTTCTTCAAGTAGTCTTAAGATTGTTGAGTTTTATAAATAAATAAATAGGTTGGTTAGTATAGGTAAATGACATAGCTATTTCTTATTCTTTTGTACAGGAAAATTGACCACAGACTTCTCTATATCTGAGTATGACTCAAATTGTCATTTTTGTACATCAAAAATAGTTGATAGTCAGGAGTGGTGGCATATGCCTGTAATCCCAGCAACTTGAGAGGCAAGTTGGTTTTTGTACATCAAAAATAGTTGATAGTCAGGAGTGGTGGCATATGCCTGTAATCCCAGCAACTTGAGAGGCAAGTTGGAGGCCAACCATGGCAACTTAACAAGACCCTGTCTCAAAACCAAATAAAGTAGGTTGGGAGTGTGGCTCAGTTGTAGAGACCCTCTGGGTTTGATCCCAGTACTATAAAAACAACAACAACACATACACACACACAATTGTTATCTGCAATTTTAAATAGTTCAAAGTAAAATAAATACATAAATATGGATTTTTGCTGGTGCATGTCAGGTTTTTCATTTCTGGAATATAAAATAAAGAAACTTTAGAGCTGGTTGCAGTAGCATATGCCTGTAATCCTAGTGACTTGGGAGGCTGAGGAAGAGGATCAAAAGTTTGAGGCCAGCCTGGGCAACTTATTGAGACCCTGTCTCAAAATAAAAAGAGTTGGGAATATAATTCAGTGGTAGAGCACTTGTCTAGTCTGTGCAAAGCCTCAGGTTTGATCCCCATTACCACACATGCACGCAAAAATAACTTTGGGGACTACTCCTATTGATTGATCATAGGCCTTGAAGCTATTCAGACTAGAGTTCAAATGATGGTACTGGCAATTACTAATTTTTTGGTTTAGGGTAAGCCACTTAACTGAGATTTGGCTAACTCCTTTGTAGAAAAATAAAATAAAAAAGGGTATTATTAAGTATTTTTTTAAAAAAAAATAACTGAGCATTAGTGGAAATGCAAATCAAAAGTACACTGAAATTCAAAAATACAAATAATAATGCTGAAGAAGATGCAAGGGAAAAGGAACACTTTTACATTGTTGGTGGGGTTGTAAATTAGTACAACCAGCATGGAAATTAGTAAGAAGTTTCCTCAAAAGACTAGGGATAGAACCACCATATGATCCAGTTGTACCATTCCTCAGTATTGATCCTAAAGAATTAAAGTCAGCATACCGTAGTGCTATACACATGCACATGCTTATAGCAGCACAATTCACAATACCCAAATTATAGAACCAGTCTATATGTCCATCAGTTGATGAATGAAAAAAAAAAAGGTGGTATATGTGTACAATAGAGTTTTATTCAGCCATAAAGAAGAATGAAATTATGTCATTTTCAGAAAAATGGATGGAACTTGAGAGAATTATGTTAAGCAAAATAGGCCTGACTCAGAAAGTCCTGTTTTCTCCCATGAGAAAGCTAGAGAGGAAAAAGGAAAAGAAAGCAGGGGTGGGGGTGGATATTTATGAAAATCAAAGGGAGGCCAGTAGAGTAGGGGAACAGAAGGAGGGAAGAGGAAAGGGAGAGAGGAAGTAATGGGGGAAAAACAAATTTTATTATTCCTTTGTGTACTTGCCTATATGAATGTGTAACAATGAATCTCACTACTATGTATAATTACAATGTACAATAATTTTTTTAATTTTTAAAAGAATTACTGAAAATATATACATAAAGAACCTAAGGCATCCTAGATTTTGGTAAATAATAATTACCTATTATTTTGTTAATACATCATTAAATTTAATATCACATAGATCTAATTAAATTGAGTTTAAAAATAGATGCTATTGCTGTAGATTCAATTTAATTAATTTTATCAATTCCATAGAGTTATTTTAAGAGCTCCCTATGTTGCTAAGGAATTTTTAAAGAGGAATCAATATAAACAGATGATTGGCAGAGCTGGCCGTGCTGGAATAGATACTATTGGGGAGAGTATCCTTATATTGCAAGAAAAAGACAAGCAACAGGTAGTACTCAATCTGGTTGGTTGATTTTTTTTCCTCCCCTTGGTCTTTGGTCTAACCCCTTATATGTGATCATCTTTTAAAATTAATTATTAATGTTCCTTTAAATGATGTATCCTTCTCTTATATGATTAAAAATTAGAGTTTGAATATTTTTATATTTCAGACAATGAAAAAGTATTTTCCCTATTTAACTTTTTAATTTTATAAAGATACCTGTTAAATTTTTATTCTTTGTCCTTTTGAGTTTTGTTGTTTTGTTTTTGTCCCCCTGGCTCCACAAGTTTCATGCAAAAGGACAAAATTTTATATTGAACATAATTCATGTTTAATAATAACACAAAACATAACATTATTTTAACTTTTATAGGTCTTGGAGCTAATAAGCAGACCACTGGAAAACTGTTATAGCTGTCTCGTTCAGGAATTCACCAAGGGAATTCAAACTTTGTTTCTGTCTTTGATTGGTTTGAAGGTATTTTAAATTATTTTTAGTGTTATTACTGTTACCTGAGAGAATAGAGGTAAAAACTTATGCACATTATAAATTATGAAAGAAATGTTAACATTTCTTTATGTTATCTAATATCTAATATGGAAAGGAAGTTTATGACATACTAAATCTGAATCTGGATTTATATGTATATTTTTTAATCCTTGAGTTATATTTCAAATTTTCATTTCTTATAACTGGCATATAAATATGAGACTTTAGTGTATACTATGTCATATCAAAAGTAAGAGACTTTAGTGTATACTATGTCATATCAAAAGTAAGAGACTTTAGTGTATACTATGGGGAATAAAAGGAACTGTAAAGCAGTGGGTTCTTGTGTGGGATAATCCGACATGTCTGTCCTTATTAGGAGTTAGGTACAGCAGTCTTGTGACCATTCTAGGATATTATTAACACTGGAGAAATCCATAGAGTTTTTATCAGATGGGAGAGAGAAAGAGAACTATGACAGGAAAACATTATTTTTCCTGATATTAAAACTTAACTCTCTCACAGTGATCCTTTAGTTAAATCTCTCTTTTAGGGTTACTCTTGTTAATTAAAATTTATTCCTATCCCTGAGGTCTTTCACCCACAAAGTGGCAAAGCCAGAGTTTGAATTTAGCTTTGTCTTTATAGATAGTCAGTGTTCTTACCCATCATATAGTTTGCCTTCATCAACATGAACAGTTTAAGTAAACATGTAAAATAAAACTGATAAATAAGAGATATCACAAGACAAAATTTTTTATTATCTTGCAGAAGCATGTATAATTATTGTATCACCTGGTGACTTAAAAGGGTGAAAGAAAGGAAAAGGAAGAAAGGAATTAGTGTTGGGTTTGAAAGAGAAACAGATATTAGATAAGCAGGGGGAAGAGAAAAATAAAAAATGAAAGATAAGAAAGCTTAAATTGATGTGGGTAATAGCCAATAGACTAGATACTCTAGCTCTACAGGAGGGCTGAGGACTCTGAAGAGTAGAAGACCAAAGGAAAACATTGGCACAAGACCATGTGCCATAGACTGGGGAGAATGGAGGACCATGCTTAAATACTAATCTGAAGAGTTGATATGGTCACTTGTGGAAAATTAGTTTCGTGGTCATTCAAGTATTGCACATACCTGGGTATTATTAGAGTAATACATCCAGTTCTCTTTTTACCCTAAGTTATTAACTCTCTCTTAAGCCTCACAGAGTTATCTTATCTATAAAATGAGGATAAAATGGTCACTGACTTACAATGATTCAAATTTTGATCTTTTCCCAAGCTAGCACTATGTGCTGTGGTAGCTCACAGGGTGCTGGACAGTGACAGTGAGCTATAACTCCTAGTCAGCCTTGCAATCATGAGAGTAAACAACCAATGCTACACAGAGTACCATGTTGCTAAGTTATGATGTTAATTAGGCTAGATATATAAAATGCATTTTTAACTTATAATATATTCAACTTATGATGGATTTATTCAGGATGTTCATTGTAATGTGAAGAACATCTGTAATTGTAGGCACTATTGCAAGACTAGTTTGGAAGCAAATCCATGTATAATAAATAGGAGAGTTGCCAAGGAGTTAATAAGGGAATGAGAGAGATCATAAAGATCATCTGGTTTTAGTACATATATATATTAGGTAAAGTAACAGACCCAGAGAATTAATGATCAGTTCGGTTATTCAGTGAGTTATGATTAAGATGGGACTGTAACTCGGATTTCTGACTTGTTGGCCTATGCTCTTTCCAGTGTGCATTGTATATGTGGAACATTTGCTGAGTACACATGAAACATTTACCAAGATAGGCAGTATTACAGGCCATAAAGTAAGTCTCAATAAATTTAAAAGGATTGAAAACATGGAATATGGTATCGAATGACAATAGAATTATTAGAGTATACATCAACAATAAATAGATACCAAGGAAATACCACATATTCAGGAACTAAAAACACTCTTTAACCCATGGTCAAAGAAGAAATCACAAGAAAAATTAGAAAATATTTCCCATATAATGAGAAAAAAAGCAATAAATCAGAAGTAGTGAGATGAGAATAAAGAAGTGCTTCAGGAAAAATAAAAGTGCTTCAGGGGAAATTTTATAGCTTTATATGATTATTAAATATAAAAAGATCATAGTCGATGATCTAAATTTCACTTTAGAAAGCTAAAAGAAAGATTAAAGGAAGTAAATAATACAGATACAAGAAATAGTAATCAATGAAAACAAAATAGATAATGGAAAAAATTAATGAAACCGTAAGCTGGTTCTCTGAAAAGATCAGTAAGGTTATCAACTGGGTTGGTCAAGAGAAAAAAATGTATAAAAATACTAATAGAGACCATATAAACAGTTAATGTCAGGACTGAGAGGAAGATAATCAGTAAAGATCCTAGAGACATTAAAAAGATAGTAAGGGTTTATCCTTGAATAAATGTATCCTTAAATATTGTAAAATAAATGAAACAACTTGGATGAAATAGGAAAAAAATTTGAAGGATATGAATTTCCAAAATTAATTGAAAGAGAAATTTAAAAATATGAATATTTTCAAATCTCTTGTCTATTTTTGTAATTCAGAACTTTCTCACAAAAGAAAACTCCATATCTATATGACTTCACTGGTGAAATCTATCAAACATTTAAGAAAGAAATAATACCAGTTATACACATATTCTTCCAGGAAGTAGAGAAAGAACTGCTCATCTCATAAGACCAGCATTATTTGATACCAAAACCAAACAAAGATGTTAGCAAGAAGACTACAGACTAGTATCTCTGGTAAACATAGATATAAAAATCCTTATCAAAAGAGTAGCAATCCGGGGCTGGGGCTATAGCTCAGTGGTAGAGTGCCTGCCTCGCACATGTGAGACACTGGGTTCAATCCACAGTACCACATAAGAATAAATAAATAAGATATTGTAGCCATCTATAGCTAAAAAAAAAAATTTAAAAGAGTAGCAATTCATCAATACTTTATAAAAGTACTATTGCATGATCAGTTGAGGTTTATTCCAATAATGCAAAATGGGTTCAACATTAAAAAGTCAATGTAATTCTTCATATTGATAGAACTCAGTACTCGTTCATGATGAAAAAACTCAGTAACTAATAGAGTAAAAGAGAACTTTTTCAACATAATAAAGAGTGCTTATTTAAAAATCTACAAGTCTTATCACACTTAATAGAGGAAACCTAAATATTTTTCCTCTAAGATTAGAAAAAGCAACAGCATTTGTTCTCATCATACTCTTCAACATGTTATCCATGGTCATGGCCAGTATAATAAGGTAGCCATACAGACTGGAAAAGAAGACATAAAGTCATCTGATTTGCTGATGTCAATGAACTCAAGGAAAGTCCAAAGGAGTGTGCAAAAACTATTGAGAGTATAGTTAACATTGTCATAAGATACAGGGACAACATAATAAAACAATTATGCTTCTAAATGCTTACTGTAAGTAATTATAAAACAATTCCATTTACAGTGTCATCCAAAAAAACATGAAGTACTTTGGGATAAATTTAACAAATATGTGCCAGATCTATACACTGAAAACTATAAAACACTGCTGAGAAAAATTTTAAAAGACTTAAATGGAGAGAGATGCCATATTCATGAATTGGAATTTTTAGTTTTACTTTTTCCCAAATTGATTCATACAGTCAGTGCAATCCCAATAAAAATATCAAGAGATAATTTCTGTTGTTATATTTGAAGAATTGGAGGCAAAGAAAAGTAGGTTGTGTAGGCTGCTTTTGACCATGTATCTGTGCTTGCATATTCTTTTTTTCTTTATTTTTGTGGCACTGGGTATCAAACCGAGAGCCTCACATCTGCTCTTCAAGTGCTCTACCACTAAGATGTACTCACAGCTCTCTTTATTTTGAGACAATGTCTTGATAAGTTGCCCAACCTGGTCTTGAACTTGCCATCCTCCTGCCTCATCCTTCTGAGTAGCTGGGATTACAGGTGCACGCCACCATTACCAGCTGTAATTATATTCTTCGTGAAATTATTTAATAATGACCTTGCCCCACTGGGATGTAAGCACTGTGAAAGCAGGGCTCACAGTTTCTCTCTTTTTTTTTTTTTTTTCCCATTCATCACTGACTCTCAGTCCCTTGGACAGTGGTTGGCATTTGGACAACACTCAGTAAATACTTGAATTAATGAAATTAACCTTCGAATTAGGTATGAGTGAACTTGTAGGTTGGAGCATCAGTGAAGAAGCTAGCTTTAAGAAGCTCTGGAGAGGCAGAGGTTAACCCAGTAGGGTAAAGTCACTATTGTCAAAAAGGTTTTCAGGGAAGGATAGAAAGATAACATGAAAGTGGTAGAGGAATCAAGTAAGATGTCTCATCCACCCATCCACCTAGCCTCCCACGAGGTTAAAAGTAATCAGTCAGGTAGGAAACAATACAGAAACTAAGTACATTTGTAATCCACAAATTGAGTATCAATTCTTGGATATCTTAAAAGTGCATTTTTAGTTTAATTGAATATTAAGAATGATTTTTATTAGAAGGAAGAAAAGAAGCAATATAAAATGTGCCCTATAATATAACTACTAAAATTTTCCAGTTGAAGTATCATCAAAATTATAAGAGAAAGAAATATACTTATTGATTTACTATATTTTAGTATAACATGCGGATTTCATTGAAATTGATTATGAAAGAATTATTTTAATTCAAAGTCAATTGTGCATCTGAATTCCAAGTGGAGGGCTGAGCGTTACTTATGGTCTCCATTGTTAAGTAGTAAATAATAAGAGGGGGTGGGGGAAAGGGCGGTGAAAGACTGGGAAAAGGCGATGAGAATGAGAGAGAGACAAAAAGTGATAAAAACAAACTATTTATTTACAAGAAAGTTAACCTTTCAGGCAAAGTTTTGCCTGATCCTGTTTTAGTCCATCCTGTTTTAGTGGATTCTTTCAGTTACATTTTCCATGTTTCTTTATTTTTAATGCAAGTTTTAGAATTAAAAGATACTTTCACAGTTGGATTGAAAGGGCAAAGAGAGGTTTCTGGAAGGAGGTTGGTGGGAATTAGTGAAGATGCATTGGGCACTAAACAGCACAGCTTTGGAGATACTGTGAAAAAATTATTTAAAAACCTTAAGAGTTTTTTAATGAAAAATATATATGTGCTTTCACCAAAAAAAAAAAGCATGAACATGATATCTTCTTCCTTTAATTACTTTTCTTGTTAATTTTTAGATTAGTTTATAAAATCATATGCAACAAAGCTATTTAAATAGCTTTGAATTACAGAAATACATAATAATCTTGCTTAATGTACAAAATGATGCCTTGAATTTAAGGAAAATGCTCTGATGATGTCCTGGATTGTTTCAGATTGCAACAAATCTTGATGATATATATCATTTTATGAATGGTACATTTTTTGCCGTTCAACAAAAGACTTTATTGAAAGAAAAAAGTCTCTGGGAAATAACTGTCGAATCACTTGGATACCTGACAGAGAAAGGACTCCTACAAAAATATACTGTTCTGTCTGAAGAAGAATTGCAATATAATTTTCGTATTACAAAATTAGGACGAGCTTCTTTTAAGGGTAAGAGAGATTTAGGTAAACTCATACCTCATTATTAATCTAAGGCAATGTATTGGAAAAATACAAATTAAATTTATCTTTCTTTAAATTGGATTTGTGATTTCATATTTATAAACATTCATTTTATAAGCTGATAAGCTACTTCAACTTTCAAAAGTTAAAAAATATTTTGAATCAAAAGTAAATTAAAATACTGCAAATGTATATAGGGGAAAAGATGGTGATCCCACTTTGATACTTCCCTCCCCAATAACCACACAGACCTTGAAATCCTACCAAGAACAGCAAGTTGGTTTATATTTTCCCAGACCTATTCTGTGCTTTTCATTTCAATTAGTAATACATGCATTTATACAATTTTAAGTTTTTATTTTTAAAGAAATAAATCATTCATATTGCTATGGAACTTACTTTTTTGCTTAATATGATACCTTAGAGATTATTCTATACCTAAAGAGTTTCTTCCTCAATGGTTATATCATAATTTACTTAATGGAAACTAATACACTTCTGTTGTTTAAAAAAAAAAAAAAAATCCCAAAACTCAGGATTATATTAAGGAAAGTTCCATACTCAGTCCTATTTACACTCTCTCAGGAGCTACCACCATTAACAGTTCAATTTATGTCATTATACAGTTATACACCACAAAACAGTGCTTGAGTCAACAACTGACCACATATACAATGGTAGGGGTCCCGTAAGCCCATAAGATCATATCACCAATGGTGTCCTTAGACATCTTGGGTGTTTTCTCAAGGATGAAATATCTCTTTGTCATACCCAACTGTATTTTCATGTGTGTATATATATGTGTATATGTATGTACTTTTTTTAAAATGGAGTCATTGGGGTTTTTGCAATTTGCTATTCTCACTTATAAAACATAATGAATATCTTTTTTTTAAATTTTTTTTGGTTGTAGATGAACACAATACCTTTATTTATTTTATGTGGTGCTGAGGATCGAACCCAGTGCCTCACGCATGCTAGGCAAGCGTTCTACCACTGACCCACAACCCCAAACCCCACCATGAACATCTTAACAGGTCTATTCTTTTTAGTCTATCACATTTTTCTTTTAATACCCTATTCATCCATAGTATGGATGTAACAGTTTAACTATTCTTTATTGAGGGAAATTTGCATTATTTCTGATTTTTCTCGGTTGTGAATAGAGCTGTATGGGCATCTCAATTTATGTATTTTGTATTATGTACATATGGAAATATTTCTCTTGGCTAGATTCCCAGAAATAGAGTAATTGGATCAAAACTTATTAAATATTGATTATTCTATCAAAATGGCCTCCAAATAAGTGAAGATTACATAGTAAGAGACTTTGAAGACTTTTTGTTACATTTAATTAACTTCTAAATAAGACTTTATTTAAAATCAGCTCGTTCCTCCTTGAGTAATTATGAAAGATGAAGTATCTGTATCTTTCTTTTAGGAACTATAGATTTGGCTTATTGTGACATTCTCTACAGAGACTTGAAGAAAGGTCTTGAAGGGCTTGTGCTTGAAAGCCTTTTGCATCTCATCTACTTAACAACTCCCTATGATCTGGTTTCTCAATGTGACCCTGATTGGATGATATACTTCAGGCAGGTGAGAATATAGGATTTTTCTACTTAGGCTACTTAGTTTATCAATGATGTTTGATCTTTACTTCTTTTTCACTCTATTAAGATATATTTATTGTAATCCTAGCGGCTTGGGATGCTGAAGCAGGAGGCTCATGAATTCAAAGCCAGCCTCAGCAACAGTGAGGCGCTAAGCAATTCAGCAAGACCCTGTCTCTAAATAAAATATAAAACAGGGCTGGGGGTGTGGTTCAGTGGTCGAGTGCCCTAGAGTTCAATCCCTAGTACCAAAAAAAAATTAGAATTGGGTCATTTTTGTCTGTGAGATTTTTTTAAAAAATAATATGACAACAACATTTTTGGCTTGTTTAACTTAAATATTACTTTTCTGTTATATATAAACATATTAATTATCCAAAAATAAAGGTACCAAAAAAAAAAAAAGGACTATCACTGATCACATTCCCCCAAAAACAGTTCTTCTAAAATTTAGTGACTTCTGCATTTTATAATGCTTAGAGTGTAAAGAAAACAGTGAAACTATCACTGATGAGTGAGAGTTTAGTTATATGAAAGGTCTGTCAGAGCCAAGCCTGATGATACTCCAAACCCAATGATGTTAATACATACAAAGGAATATTTATTTTATTGCAGTACCAAGGTAGAATTAGCCCCACTTATAACAAACCTAAATGATAGAGTATATACTTCATTTTGATTTTACTGTGAACAGGCTAGCTATATGAACACACATTATGCAGAAAGAGTATATAACTTCTATTATTATGATTTTGATTGAACCTAAGCCTTCATGCATACTATATCTCCAGTCCTGCAATATGTATCTTTTTGCAGGGTGTGGGGTGGTGGGTACTAGGATTTAACCCCGGGATGCTTTACCACTGAGCTATATCCCAGCCCTTTTTTTGTTTTTTGAGACAGGATCTTCCTAAGTTGCTTAGGGCCTCACTATATTGCTGAGGCTGGCTCCAAACTTATGATCTTCCTGCCTCAGATTCCAAAATCACTGTGATTACATGCATGTACCACCACACCCAGCTAGCATATAGCTTTTAATCTCAGGAAATTAACTTCTACTTTTAATGTCATATTTTTAAATCATTACTATAAGATTTTTTTAAGTGTTGCTATATATAATGCAGTTACTTTCAAAACCTTTCCATCTTCTCCCTCTCCCCAGCCATCTGTAGTATTAAACAATCACATGGAAACCAGTATTTGTGGCCATGTCTTTAAGTAGAGTCATGTATCACTTAATGGCAGATATGTTCTAAGAAACACACTGGTAGGTAATTTCATCACTGTATGAACATCAGATGGCTATGACATTACTAGACCATGTAATCTTATGGAACTATCATCATATATGTGGGCCTTGACTCATTTTGCCACATGAGACTGTAATTCTACTAAAATATGTTATATTCTAAAGAATATAACATATTCTTTTAAAACTTGCAATATTTATAAATAAAATCGTCATTTTTCATATCCTTTAAAATCATGAAAATGTGATTTCCAAAGAAATGCCATATTTGTTTCAAGTGGCATATTTTTAAGATACATTGATTTTTTTTCCGTGCATGTATTCTTTTTCTACAGTTTAGTCAACTCAGTCCAGCTGAACAAAATGTAGCTGCTCTTCTTGGAGTCTCTGAAAGCTTTATTGGGAAGAAAGCATCTGGTCAAGCCATCAGGAAGGTACCACAGTCATTTACCCTTCCTAAATAATGAAGTTCATTCAACAAAACTAATACCATTAAAAAAAAAAAAAACTAATACCATTCATCTCCTTTAGTGATTGGATCTTTTTGTTTCTTTTTTTTTCTTTAAATTAATAAAATTTCCATTTTGCTATTTAAAACATATCTTTCTGAATACCACAAATGTAAGAATTTTTTAAAGGCTATTTCTGGATGGTGTGATGGCCAGTTTTTTTTCTTTTTGATATTTTTGCATTTCTGTCATACATGTATAAGGCTATCATAAGAAAGGATAAACCTTATTAATCTACCTTTTTTTTTTTTCTTTACAATGGAGTACACAGTTTTTAATTCTGCAAAGCAGACAGGTACAGTGGTCTAGGGTCTAGTCAGAGATAGTTGTACTTACTATTAAAATAAACAAATCCTATAATCAACAGTTCAGGTGAACTTGCTGTGGGCTTGCTGCAATATGTCAGCTGGATTTGCAAAGTCTGAAGAGCATCTTGGCTCTCATTAGTTTTGGAAGAGTCATCCTGAAATAAGCACAAATGTTAACAACACTGATAAAAAAGACCCCAGGTTCAGAAGGAATCACTTTTTCCTCAATTATGCAACTTTGGGCACTGGGAGAATTGATGACAGATGGAGGAGAAATAAAATGTTAATCTACTTTTCTTAGGCTACTTGTGACTTATATAATAAAAGTACTAAAACATTTATAAAATATTTTCATGATATCATATGTTCCTAAAATAAGTTCAATTCAAACAAGCCAATATATTTTACAGAAATTTACATCCTATTTGGTATCAGGGATTCTAACATAGGACAGGTCTAGATGTTTTTGTTGTTATTTTTTGTCCTCAAAAAACTTCAAGTTTAGTCCTTGTAGTAAACAAAACATTTAGAATGTTGAAGTGGATCGGTTAATATTCTTTTGTGTGATATCTTATATCTTAATGTTTCACAATTCAGTCGGTAGGCATGAAGCAAGTGTTTAATGCATACACTAACTTTAAGAGAAGTAGAAATAATTCTGTGGTAACCATACCTTCAACTTCCTTAAGCTAGTATCATTTTTCTCTCATACTTTTTCATTTTTAATTTTATTTTTTAATTCATCTTTCATTGAAACAATTATCTTACTTGCCATTTCCCCTATATCTTTTAAATTTATGTAGACAGTGCTAATTTCACTTTGAAAAATGGAAGATGGTGTTTACTTACATTTGAATTGAATGGTGCAGCTATCTTATGCATTGCTATATCATAAAATTAATAGCATCTATATATTTTTTAACAATTTTTAAGTTGTTGATGTACACAATAACTTTATTTGTTTTTATGTAGTGCTGAGAATAGAACCCAGTGCCTCACACATGCAAGGCAGGCACTCCACCATTGAGCTACAACCCTAGCCTAGCATCTATATATTTATATCTACAAATATATATATTTATAGATATGAATGTACAATTGTATATATTTATAAATATATAGATATATGATATAGTAATATAATATCTATTTTAAACATTCATATTTTTATAATTTCGAGGGATAGATCCTCCTGAGCTGCATCTGCAGTTCTTTTTCTATTTTTTTTATTTTGAGACAGAATCTCCCTAAATTGCTGAAGCTGGGCTTGAACTTGCAATCCTCCTGCCTTAGCCTCCAAAGTTGTTGAGATTACAGGCATGTGCCACCACACCCAGCTACAGTCTTACAATTTTTAGATTAGGTCTTTTACTTTAGAAATGTCTATGTTGTTTAGACTTTCAATGTTGAATAAAAGTTTTTCTTAAAACAAACCTTTTATATCCAACTCTAAAATGTAAAGTAAAAACAAAATCATATTATTCTGGAACTCATTACCAAATAATAAACATATGCAAAATCATAATAGAACAAGGCATCTTTTAAAACTTGAATCAAGGATTTAATTTTGTTATAGTTTATGGAATATAGTTAATAAATGTTTATTAAATTGATAATTAAATGTGTAAAGTAGTAGAGTATGGATTTACCTTAATTATGAATGGATTAGTTAACTAATTCAATACCTTAGAAGTATCATCATTGGAATCCGAAAGAACATGATATATACTTAAAATCTAATTGATTTCTCCATATTGAAAAAGAACCCCCTTTTAATATCTTACAAAATATCTTAAAATTGGCACAAAACATCTTGCCATATAATAATTATATTTTTTTCTTGGTTAACAAAATACATTCTAAGCAAAACCTACATTAACTCAATTTATAGTTAATAGTAAAGGTACATTAAAATTGTAAAATTAAAAAGCTATCTTGTCCTACTTGCTATTCAACTAAGGTTTTTTAGCTTAATACTTTTCAAGAATGATCCAGCATCAATATTCAGATTCTATAACTCATAAATGCTCCAATATATCACCCTGAGTTCTCATATCGAACACCATTTAGTAGAAGGTATCATTTTACATTCTATACCCCCTTTTTTTCCCTTCAGGTTCATCCTTGTTTTCCTTTAATTTTAAGCACAAGTTATTTTCTCAGTTAATTTGATGCTAACAAGGAAATACTTTACTCAGAAATAGTCACTAAACACCACAGACACCACAGGCAAAAATATGCACAGAAACAGAAATCTTCAAAAACAGCAAGCATTTTTCTCTTTTAATGTTTTAACTTTGGGAACATCAGTTAATTTATCATGATAATATGGAAATCATAGCATAATATTCACTCTTAGTTTACAATATAGTCATGCTTATCAACATATTTATCAACATGCATTTATGTAATTTATAATAGCAATCACACAAATGTACAATTTATAAATACCACAGTAAATATATACAAATCTCTGCAGCTTCCTCCCTGTATTTGTTTCCTAGTGTTGCTGAGAAGGAAACCATCCTTTGCCTTTCTCCTGTGTATGGTAGTTACTGGCAATCAAGTGATAATCAGTTTAAAGCTTACGTTAGAAATTAGTTTTATTTCCTTGGAATCATTCTATTCTTGCTGTCCTATAGTACAGCTTCATCCACTTTACCTGTTGTCCATCTGGGTACATGAATTTATTTGTCTTTCTAGAAGGTGGACAAGGACATTGTCAACAGACTCTACCTGTCTTTTGTTCTTTATACCTTGCTCAAAGAGACCAACATTTGGAGTGTGTCTGAAAAATTTAACATGTCTCGAGGATATATACAAAATCTACTTACGGGAGCTGCTTCCTTCTCATCCTGTGTGTTACATTTCTGTGAGGTAATTCCACTAAACATAATTTATACTTGGTACATCTTCTTGTTTTAACTGTTACTAAACCCACTAATAAATACTGACAGTATGTCAGTATTCCTCATTGTTGACTTATTGTGTTATTTCAAAGCACTCAAAATTTATCTAAAAAGTATCTTTGTTTTTATCTGCCTACAAAAGAGTACTACATACATACTGATGGTAAAGATATAAAAATTCCTGAGTTAACTAAAATATAAAGTAAGTAGAAAGTGCCTAGTTAATCTACTTTTAAGGCCATCATTAGTATTTTTCAGGTATTTCCTCAAAAATATATAACAAAGGATTATAGACTTTCCTTCACAGATAATTTTTAATTGAATTTATAACATAAACCATTTTTCCTACATTTTAATTTTTTATTGGGTAGCATAGTAATCCTTTCCATGTTTGTGTCTATACTCAATTTTTAAACTCTTTCCTCATGAATTCTGTTTTTCTAAGATTTAAATTTACTTCATTTTTTCTACCTTAAACATCGATGTTCTATGTATTTTATGACAATTAATTCTGTCATATGTACTCATGGAGTAAATAATCCAAAAATACTTGGCTTTGGATTGAATGATAATTATTTTAGCAAATTTACCTTTCTAAATATAATTTACTTAGGACAATTTTTAAGTGTTAGTTTATAATCCCTAATCATATGCCAGTTAAGCATCAGACAAAAATTACAAGTTATAAGGGGAAACAAATTTTTTAAATGTATATTCTTAATTTTTTTGTTTGTTGTTCTCCATAATTAAAATTGCTCTCCTTGATATTATTTCCCTTTGTGTTATTTAGGACTGAGGGTTTGAGCCTAATGGAATTGCTCAAATAAAATAATCTATACATAGAACTTGAAAAACAACTGTAATTTGATGGCTGATCCTAAAAAAATCTGATAACTTATGTTCTCAATGTATTTTTAATATTTTAAAGTGTTTTTTTCTTTTAAAAAGTTTTATAAGTTGTATAAAATAGTATACCAATCATATTAGTAAATTATATTTAACTACAATTAATAGGAAAATTTAAAAGAAGTTTAGCCAATAAAGAAAAATGATTATCTTATGTAACAGGAAGGCAAGAACTAATGCAATTCCAGGGTTGATTGATTCAGTAGTTCTATTCATGGTCTTTTTACTCTGCCATCTTTATTGACTACTTTCTTGGTGGTCTCGATATGGCTAGATAGTGCTATTACATGCATCACAAACTCTCACAATGGCTGGAATGAACCTTTTGATAAAATAAACTACTATTATAGAAATTTCAAACATACAAAATAGATAAAATGATATGATCATTTACCCACCAAGAGTTAATAGTTATTGATTCGTGATTTCCGGTATTTGTGAAAGTTTAATAATGCTGCATTGAACATTATCATGCATTTGAATCTTTCCATATTTAATATTTTGTCTTCAGGATAAATTCCTAGAGATAGGAATTATTTTTAGTCATTTAGGAAAGAAAAATCATTCACTTTCTGATGTTTTGATAAAAATGAATAGAGCTCTTTCTATTCACTTGTTTTTCAATTTTCAATCTTTTTCCACCTCCCTAAACTACTTCATCCAGTTCCTCAGAGTCTCTACCATGTTTCCTCTTAATACTTTGGCCTGGAATAATCTTTCATTTCTGGTTTAATCCATGTTCATAATAAGATAATATCCTATCTGAGCCTCATACCACACAAATTAAACTTGGAAATAACTTACAAAAATTAAATTTGATATATTTCCTTGCATTCTACAGGAACTTGAGGAGTTTTGGGTTTATAGGGCCCTTTTGGTAGAACTTACCAAGAAGCTGACTTACTGTGTGAAGGCAGAGCTAATCCCTCTCATGGAAGTGACTGGAGTCTTAGAGGTTAGTAGCTTTTCAATTTCTCAACTGATGATTATTACAACTAACAAAAAAATTAGGTTTCATTATTTTGTGAAGTCTTACTACAGGGCAAGTGATAGAGCCTTGTTGCTCATTTTTCATGGCGAGATATATATGGCATTGATTATGTGTGTGCATATATATACATATATACATATACACATGCATATGTTCCACTTATATACATGCAAATATACATACACACATATGTACATACACATATATGTATATATAAATGTTTTTTTGTGTGTGTGGCTCCCATGACAAATAAGCAGCAAGGCTCTATCACTTGCACTGTAGTAAGACTTCACAAAACAATAAAACCTGACATATATAATAAAATATATATATATATATACATATAAATAAATACACATATATGTGTGTGTCTATGTAACTAGCTGCTGCCATGGCCTTCCAGAAATCCACTGCTAATTGGGAAACAAATCTAATGAAAAATCTCAGTTGTGGAAAAAAAAATAACAGTAGAGGTGGGAGTGACTCTCTGCAAGAATGTTCATGCTACCACATCACTTCATTCCTCCATTCCAATGTGGAATTACCTTCTCTTAGTTTGTACTCAGTGCTTGTTTAAGATAGTGATGATTCAGTGACAGCAAAAGTCATTTATGTTTTCTAAGAGAGTGGTTTCTATTTTTAATTAATTTATTCTTTATTATTTGGTTCTTAATTCCACTGAGAAAACACACACACACACTGGTCTCCTGAGTAGATGATGAGAAAATTTGAAAGATATCAGGCTAGAACATTTTGCTTGAAGAACTTTATTAGTACCACTAACATAAATGCCTTAATGGCTTTCTCATTCCTGATTTTAGCACACATTAGCTGACTTAAGCTACATAAAAAACTACATGCACTCAGATTGGAACTACTCAGCTGCATCTTCAAAATTGTTTAGGATTCTGAGGTGTTATCTCTTCACACATATCTACTTTATTATCTTAGTTTATTCCTATCTCTGTGTGTGAATTTTTTCCTAATTTCAAATTCTCATCCTACTTATTTTTGTAACACTTTTTAGGGTCGAGCAAAACAGTTATACAATGCAGGTTACAAAAGTCTAATGCATTTAGCTAATGCTAACCCAGAAGTGCTAATAAGGACAATTGATCATTTATCAAGACGCCAGGCCAAGCAAATTGTTTCATCAGCAAAGGTAAGCAAGGAAACTATTTTTTAACCTTTATTATAAATTTCGTAGTATTATTTCCTTGTACTTTATACTTCAGAACAAAATATTTAATATCACATGAGTTTATTTTGATAGAAACAAATATATGTATTCAGAATTTGTGAGTACAAATACTGCACCTGTTATGACACAAGGCTTGCTAAAAAGAACAGACTTCCTAAAATGTAAAGACAGTTTTGAATGTTCATTGAAGTATAGGAACCCTAGAAGTCATTGAGTTCTGCCTCCGCAGTCTTTTCACAGAAGTTCTTTCCTCAGCATCTCTGACATCTGGTCTTCCTACCTTGAACACCATCATTGACAGGAACTTTTTAGACACTGAGGAAAGAAAAACCATTCACTTTCTGATGAATTCACTTTCTGAAAATTCAGTTTCTTCAATTTTCGGGTGCTCTTAGTATTACAAAAATTATCCCAATATATTGAGGCAAAAAAATTTCTACCACTGTACTGGAGTACTACCCTCTAGAACTAATCTATTATTTCATTCTTTTTCTTTTTTGAAGTACAAGGGCATTCTACCACTGAATTACATTGCCAGATCTTTTGGAGTTTTTTTATTTTAAAATACAATCTCACCAAGTTGCCCAGGCTGGCCTTAAATTTGTGATCCTTTTGCCCCAGCTTCCTGGGTCACTGGGATAACAGGTGTGTGTGTGTCACCATGCCCAGCTATTCTTTCATTTTTATGGTAGTTTTTCACAGCTCTCATTTTGAAAACAGCTCTCTTTGCCCCAAAGAGTTTCTGTTTCATGTATGTTTCCTCATCCATATTAAATAATGTTGTTTTAGGCCATTCACTATCTAGGTACCCTTTGCTGGATCCAATCTGGATTACCATTGCCCATCTGTCTACATAGAAAGCTATTACTCAATAATTTGGTTTATTTCTTACTTAGTCTCCACTATAGTTATAAATCTGAAATTGTTTGGCTTCTTTTAGACTTCATTGTTACATAATTGCCATATATAAAACAGAAATAGTTAGAAAATAAATTCCATCTTACTTATTTAAATGGGGTTCTCATTGAATACATTACCTTAATTAATCTTTATGATGACCCTATGTAGTGGGCAGTGTTGGTACTATCCCCAGTATACAGATGAAACCACTTAGATGGTCTTTGTCTCTTTAGATTAGAAGTTCTTTGGGTTGGTGGGAAGAACAAAGTTATAGTCGATTTCATTTCTATAGCACCTAGCACAGCATTAAGTCTATGTGTTTAACAACTATTTGAATAAATAAATGAGACCTAACGAAATTAGGTGATGTATACAAGGAAACAGGAGGTAGGATAGCCAGGACTGTGGATTATTAAGGCTATAAATGGAGCTGTAGTAACAATGAACAAAATTAGTGACTTTAAGTTAGAAAAATTTATTAGACAAGTTTAAACATAAATAGTTTAGAAGTGACATGGGAATGAGTGGTGTATCCAGGGACCAGTATTCCTTGTTTCTTGTTGCTCAGTCATTCTCAATACAAGGCTTTCATCTTATAGACTAAGATACTTTTTCTGATTCAATCTCATCTACTTTCCAGCCAGATTAAAGAGTAAATGGATATTTGCAGCAGGATTTTGAGTACAGTATTGGGTTATAAAATTGTAAGTAAGGCCGGGCACAGTGGTGTATGTATGCCTGTAATCCCAGTGGCTCTTGGAGGCTGAGGCAAGAGGATTGGGAGTTCAAAGCTAGCCTCAGCAACTTATCAAGGCCTTAAGCAACTCAGTGAGACCATGTCTCTAAATAAAATATAAAAAAGGGCTGGGGACGTGGCTAAGTGGTAAAGCACCCCTGGGTTCAATCCCTGGTACACCCAAAAAAAATTGTAAATAAGGGATCCGGGATGGAAATAAGGAAATGAATTAAGGTTATTTTGAAGTTATACATTTTTTGGCAGGAATGCCCAAAAATTATGTGTATCCTTCAGTACATCATATCAGGAGCCACATGATATCATTTTTGTTCCATTGCTGACATTAACTTAGACCATTTGGTTTAAGGAAGTGATGTTTGCCAATTTCTTTCACTATAAAGCTATTATTTTCCCTTTTGTGATTAGTAAATATTTGGGGAATGGATACTTTTAAGATTGTAGTAGATAGCCTATTCCTTATTAGACTTTCACATACTCATTTTAGCATGTACCAGTGATTTTCTACATAACTCAGTTATTTTCTTAGTTATAGATGGACACAATACCTTTATTTTGTTTATTTTTTTATGTAGTGCTGAGGATTTAACCCAGTGCTTCACACGTGCGAGGCAAGCACTCTACCACTGAGCCATGATCCCAGCTCCCCCGTTACTGGAGCTTTCAACTGGAGCAACTGCACATGGCCTTTCCATGTGGCTTGGGTCTCATTACAGGGCAACTAGGTTAGGAGAAGGAACATCTGAGGAGTGAGCATTTCCAAGAGATCAAGGCAAAAAATGCAAGAAATCTTCTGAACTAACCTCAGAAGTAACACAGTATCATTTCTGCTGCATACAGTTGGTTACCAGTCATTAAGACCTGGATTGAAAGGAAGGAAAATTAGAATCCCACTTCTACATGAAAGGAATGTCAGATAATTTGCAGTCATTCCCAATGCCCTCCTTGTGGTCATAGATTATCTACATTTCTCTTACATATATCATATAGTCAACCCCAAAGACTTTTCCAGTATGGCATCAGACATAGGTTCATAGGAGTACTTGCAGTCCTTCTGCCTCAGCCTCCAGGTTCAAGGTACAGTATTTCTCTTAAATCAAGTCCACATGCGGGTGAAGTACCTTGATACAATTTCACAAGCTCTTCTCAGTGAGGACTTGTGAACTGAAAAGACACAGGATACAATGGTGAAATCAGAGGTAGGCTAACTACTATATATGAGCAGTGCATTGCAGCAATTCTAGAATCTATCCAGGCATTTGTGACCAGTTCCTTTATTAGGACCCAGTTCTCTCTGTAAATTATTCCTGACTTTGGGTTTCCTCATCCAAATCATTCTTCCTTTTCCATAAGTAACAGCCCTTGCTATTATGTGCATAAGTCTGCTCTTATAGAAGTTCAGGAGTTTAGGGTTAGTGGTACAGTGCCTGCTTAGCATATGTGAGGCCCTGATTCAATCCCTAATAAACACCAAAAAAAGAAAAGAATAAGAAATTCAAGAGTTCAAAAACTCTTTGTATTTTGAACTGTCTCTCTTTTTTTATTATTCAATCTAGTTTATTTCTTTTAAAATATTGTGGTTTCTTATTTATCTTTCTATAATCTCCATGTAACTTGGCTTTCTTCCAGCATGGGTGCTGTGATCTAAGAGAGAGCAGTTAAATGACCTTGCAGTGTTCTCATTCCAAGAAACCAAAGCAGAAGCTACAAGACTTCTTTCAGTTGAGCCCTATCATGCAGCATCATTTCTACTGTACTCTGTTAGTTATAAGTAGATCACCAAGGCCATCCCAGAACCAAAAGGAAGAGAATTAATTCCACCTCTTAATGGAGGTGTTGAAGAATTTCCAGTCATCATTCATTTTCCACACTCATCCTACACTACAGGACTTGTTATAGAAGTTTCTTTTTGTATTTTTAATTCCTTTCTCCAACATTGAGAAACTTGCTTCCTGTTTTCATTATATATCTATCTATATTGTTCAATAGAATACACTGAAAGTAGTTTCAGAATTGCTAAATTTTACCACTGATGTGGGGGGGCCTAATTTGCTAACCAGAATTCAATATTTATTTACAACTCTTTTTTTTTCTTTAATTTGAAAGTACACAATAGAAATAATGTGTTGAAATGTTACTTGGGGTTGTTTTTTTTTTAATTTTTAAAAAATCTGCTTTGGTGTAGTTGTTATTTATTTGAAGCACAGATTTTATTTGCAATCTTCTCTCCTCTCCCATTTTTGTTTTTGTTTTTTGGTACTGGGAATTTACCACTGAGCTGCATCTCCAGCCCTTTTTTATTTTCTGAGACAGGGTCTCATTAAGTTGCTTAGGGCCTCAATAAATTGCTGAGGCTGGCCTTGAACTTGCAATCCTCTTGCTTATGCCTCCCAAGTTGCTGGGATTACAGACATGCACCACCATGCCTGGCTCCCTGCCCTCCTTTTTGTATATAAAACATTAACCTATTTTCTTTATCTTTAAATCCAAGTAGTTGCATTAGGACATGTCTTTATTTCCTCTTATTTTAAGAATTTTTAGGGGGTTGAAGTTAATATTAGTTCTGATCCTTTTGATTTTTTCTTTAACAATTCTAATTGTATTTATATTAGATCTTCTTTGCCTATCTTCCATTTCAATATCACCGATCTCTTTTTTATATCTTTATTTTTGTTTTTATTCTCCTGATAATTTTCCCACTTTTCATATTTCAGTGACCCTAATTAGGTTTTTTTATTCAGATCTGTTCTTCCTTGAACATCTGTTCTTCCTTGAACATAATTATAGTTATTACTTTTTGTTATGAACATTTTGCCTTTTTCTTCCTATTTCTTTGTGAGCTCAGAAAAAAAAAATTGTTTGCTTTGTTTGTACCTAGGATTAGACCCAGGAGTACTTACAGTCCTTCTGCCTCAGCCTCCTGAGTCTGAGTCCCTGGGATTACAGACATGACATATACCATCACACCTGGCAGGGAGGGAATTTTTATGAACTGAAGAGCTTTGATTCTCATTTCTGTTTTTCTTTCTCAAGCAGTGATGAGAACTGCTTATACTGTTGCATTTCTTGGACAGGGTTGCCATTTGAAATAGTTCATGAGACTCCCAGTTCAAGACCCTGAGATTTTATCTCAGAGTCGTGAAATATGGTGTCTTTCATGGATAGCTCAGGGTGGGGAGAAGTGTACCAAGGTTTGTGTCCTTGGAATTTTTTATTCCTTTTGTCCTACAGCATCCTAAATTTTGCCCTCATTTCCTTTTTCCTTCATGGCTCTCCTTCCAAAGGGCACCTTTCCCCTTTTAGCCAGTCTTTTTCTGAAAACATAGCCTTTCCAAGACTGCCTCTTAGAGTTCTCCACGTACTTTAAATACCTTCCTATAAACAGCGTTTTAACCTACCAAAATTTGTTTCCAGTATTTTTATATTACTGTAACTTTTCTCTCTCTGGAGATGATTTTACTTAATCTTAGACTCTTGGTTCCCTCTTATCACATCTGTATAGTTTTTTCTCAGCCTCACCTCCATCTCTGCAAATGCTTAAAGTAGGAGTTCAAGAAATAGATCTGAGAATTGGTAGATTTTTTTCCTTTTTTGGGGGGGGGAGGGGGGGTTATCAGGTATTGAACTCAGGGGTGCTAAACCACTGAGCCACATACCCAGCCCAAATAATATGTTTGAAAACCAACTTGGAGCTTTTTTCTTCTTCTTTTATTTTTCCCCCTTTTTTGTGGTCCTGGGGATTGAATCCAGGCCCTTGTGCATGGGAGTTAAGCTCTCTACCAACTGAGCTATATATATCCCCAGCTCTTTGGTGGATATTTTTAAAACTATAAGTAATTTGAGGTAGATGGTGTTCTCTATACTATTACTGGAACATGGTTTTTGTGTAATTTACTTGTTGGTTTGTGTACTTTTTAGAGGGAGATTTATCTTACTTGGTGATCCTTCTCTCAGATACTGGAAAGTTTACTTGATTACATTTTAATCACTTTTATATAATGTGTAGTGCTATACTTTATCAAATTGGTAGAGTATTTTTGTCTTTTTTATTTTTGCTTTCATATTATTTTCCCCTTTGTATGATTTTGATAAACATTTTATTATAAAAATGTTATAACAGAAGTAGTGCTAATATTTCACCCCTACATATATGAAACCCAAATTGTTTCTGCGTTTTAGAAGAAAGGGGAATCGTTATTTATTGAAATCTTCTATGTGTCTTATTTTAGAAATACTTTTTTTCCTTTTTTGTTACTTTTGAAATCAACCATAGTCACTAAAGAAGTTGAATAACTTTTCCTAAAAATACTGATGAATTTTTAAAAGCATACTAAATTTTGAGGATTAATAAAATGCATATATAAAGGATTACTTTTCCAGGAGCTCATTAAATTTTTGCAAAATTGTCTAAGATTTTATAGATTAAAAATTAATTTTCAAGTGGCCAAGTCTCCAATAAAACAAATCTTGGAGAGTATTAAAGCCTCTTTATTTTTGGAATACTATGCAATGATCAGCTAAAATGGTTTTAACTAAATGCCTCAGCCTCATTTACTATAATCACTTGTTCTTAAATGGCCATTTTTCAATCTTGTTATTTTAGTTTTAATGTCTAGATTATTGATGTGTAAAGATTCAGGCTTCTAATAGTGGTAAAAATGTTGGCAGTTCTAGCAATGTACATTTTGGCCTCAGGTCTTGATTTTTTATTGTAGATGCTGTTGCATGAAAAAGCAGAGGCTTTGCAAGAAGAAGTAGAAGAATTATTGAGATTGCCTTCTGATTTGCCTGATGTCGAGGCATCTTCCAGTGAAAAGGCATGAAGCTATCTGATGCACATTTTCAAATATGAATTATTTATTACATATATTTTATTAAAGAGTCCTTATGCTTTACAAATGAAATATACTTAAATTATGCATTAAGAACTATGGATAATATTTGAATATAATGCTCATATTTACAGTAACCTTCTACTAATAATCCATCTTCTTCAACATTTACACATTATTTCTCTGTTCAAAATCTATAGCGTCCACCACAAAATGAATTCAAACTGCCACAACATATCTTCAAGCTTCCTTTGTAGTCATATCTTTTATTATTCTCTTACCTTTGTTGGATTTTTTTTTTTTTTTTTTTTTTTGGTGGTGGTGCTGGGACTTGAACCCAGGGCCTTGTGCTTGCAAGGCAAGCATTGTACCAACTGCGCTATATCCCCAACCCCACTTTTTTTTTATTATTTGTTTTGCTGTGGATTGAACCCAGGACCTTGTTCATGCAGAGCATATGCTCTACCACCGAACTACACCCCAACCCTCTCTTACCCATTTCTTCCTTCAAACTGGATTATTTGAAATTCCCAGAACTTTCCCTGTGATTTTTCAAACCCATCATTTTCTACCTGAAGCTGGATCACTAGGGACATGCCCTCAAAGAAGATATTGGGATCCTAACCCCTCCTCTCTCTCTGCTTTCTGGCTGCCATGAGCTGAGCAACTCCTCCACCCTGCACTCCCACAATGATGTACTGTGCTGCTACCAGCCCAAAACAATGGCCAAACAACCACAAACTGAGACCTCTGAAACCATGAGCCAAAATGAATTTTCCCTCCTTTTTAAGTTGATTTATCTCAGGTATTTGTCATAGTGATAGAAAGTTGACTAACATGGTATTAACACTAAAGGATATTGAAGCATGAAGACATTGAAGCAGTTTAGTTCTAGAAAAGTAGATCAGTGGGAACAGATGGAGAATAAAATAGACCCAAATATTTTTACGAATTTATAATAAACATGGTTTTTCATTTTTGAGTGATTAAAAACCCAAGGATATCTAGTTTAAGCAAAAAGGGATATTTAGCCACCATATTCTCAAACTGGGGGCAGCAACAAACCTACCCTTAGGGCAATTAGAATCAGCGAAGCTTAACACCATCAGTACTTGCCACCTGTCCTCTGTCAGGCAAATTAAGACTGACTTACATATAGATTCAAGACCAAAGCACAAAGATCTCACTGCTGCCAATTTCAGTTAGGAAAAAAAAAATCTGGAAAAAGCTATTAGTGGTCAGTTGGGTCCATTTCCCACCCCTATGACCAGGGTATAGAATTTTGATGATTTTTCCAGAAGACAGGAAGTGGTGGTAAATGAAGAAAATAATAGGTAGTACAGGTGATACTTCAAGTCATAGTGGAAAATGTGGGTCACTCAGTGAATAGAGTTGGAATAAATGGCTACTTCACCATTTAAAAAAATATTAAATCTACTTATCTCAGACTTAATTTAAATTTTATGTATATCACATTCAGATTTGAAATTTTTGTTGCTGTCATCTGACTGCACTAACACATCAAGGAAGGTACCTGTAGTTCCTTCATATTAAATTTCAAAACATTAAAATGTTGGGAATTCCAATGTGGTATCAGGTTTTCCTTTTTCAATGTTTTTAAGTTGTAAGTCAGCCTGTCCATTTCTAGGATGCCTAATTCCATTAAGCTCTTTCTAATGGCCACACTTGTTTTGCTTTGCCCTATTAAACTTAAACAACCACCACCCAAACAAAGCTTTTCTGTGGAGCACACCCAAGTTTTGGTCAAGTATAAGCCTTTTCAAACTTAGTTATTCTCTCAGCAAATCTCCACACTGATATTTTTTTTAGGAAGGACTGATGGAAAACCCTCCTTGGCTTTATGCTTCCATTTTCAAGAACCTTCCCATACAATCATCACTGCAGTTTCTGAACTCCATCTCACTGTGACAAGAAGTAACACCAAGCATTACACATAAGCATTGTTATACTTGATTTTCTTTGATAATTTCCAATAACATGATCATAGTGATGTGTGTATTTTCTATGGTACTCTCACTGATAAGTTAATAAACTTCCATTTATTGAAGGCTTGCCATGTGCCAGCACTATGCTAAATCCTTTGGATAGCACTATTTAGATGATTCCTTACTGACATCTAAGATGCTTTTTTTTTTTTTTTTTTTTTTTAGGCATAAACAGGTTTATTTAGGATGATAAATATACATTCAAGGGAGAATGCAGGCCTCCTCGAGAGTGAGAAGCCATGATGTTATTTTTTTACCCTATGTTACAAATAAAATGTGGCCTGCCCGGAACCCACCATTAATAAGTGACAACCTGGACTCAAACCTGATCACACTGATTATTCTGTTGATTGTGCACATTGCAACAAGCTACCCAACAAATATTTGGAAAGTTGTGGGTCAAGATGGCAGGCTGAACATATCTGTTTACTCTTCCATCTGTCTAAAACCCTATGAAATAATTACAAAAAAAGATATGAAACATAGCTTAAGTATATAGTAGAGGTGGGGGGAAACAATGAAGATGGGCACTAACACACAGTTGTGATGATTAAAGAGCCAATTGGAACATCCAGGCCATAGGTCTTACTCCCTTTGTTGATGCAGAATAGCACATTTTTATAGAAGCTGCATTTTCTACATAAGCTAAGGCAGTGTTGAGGAGGGTTCTCTATGGAATCCATAAAGGAGAAAAAGATAGATGACCTCCTCCTACCCACAAGAAAAGATATTGGCACACGCTCTCAGCATGTTAGCACAATCTGATAACAGCAAAAGCAGAGAACAGGGATTCTCAGGTGCTAAGTTTCACAAACAACCAAGAATGCCAAATATTAAGGAGGAAATGGTGGATTGGATTCTGTTTTAGTTGAACCAAACACATTAGATAATTAAACTTCCCCAAAATGAATTATATGCACATACATAGATATAGCATTAGAAGCTTTAAAGTTTGTACCAAAACCAATGAGTAACCTGGCAGCACAATATGCTTGTAGTGTCTGGTGTTTAAAGTTCAAAATATTATACATTTTAGTATTTGTTTCATTTCTTCTGAGTATTCTAAATAATTAACCTGGGTTTGTTTTTTTCTGTTTTAAGAATTTAACTTAAATGTGTGTGATTCTTGGGGTGACAGGCATAATAACAACCTGCCCAGACATGTTTGCCTTATAATAACTGAACCTATAAATTTGATATGTGGTTAGGTTGCAGATGGAATTAAGGTTGCCAATTAGGTGACTGATGATGGCAAGGTTATCTTGAATTATCTGGGTGGGCCCAATGTAGTCACAAATGACCTTGTAAGTGAAAGAGGTGACAGGAGAGTCAGAATGATATGATGAAAGATTCCCCAGCCATTGATGACTTTGAAGATGGAAGGAGACCTTGAGCCAAGGAATGAATAGTGCCTCTGGAAGCTGGAAAGGGCAAGAAATTGATTCCCTTCTAGGGCCTGCAGAAAGAAATACAGTCCTGCTTATACCTTCTGTTAGCCTACTGAGACCTTTCTAGACTTCTGACTTTCAGAATTGTAAGATAACAAATTTGTATTGTTTTAAACCACTGCACTTTGTGCTAATTTGTTACAGCAGCAATAAGAAACTAATACATCTGAAAATTGCTCTCTGGCATCTCTATGGAACACAATTAGAAAATCACCATTTGGGGGGGATTCTTTCTGGTTATTAGCACATGAGCAATTATGCCCATGAAAGGGTATTTTGTGTTTCTAAAAACTCTATGGAAGTTAACTATGATAAATACCGACCATTTTTATAAATTATAATTCTCTCTAGTGAAATGGTTTCTTTTTTACTTATCCTAACAGCAGCTTATATAAAATGTTAAAGTTCTATCCCTGATTAAAACAAAGCAACAAAAGAGATCCAATTACTGCAGAGAACTGGACATTTGAATCCTTCTGAGGAGTTTTATGAGCCATCTAATCTAGGACATCTTATAATTTTTTTTCTCTTTAAAATGGGCAGAAAGTATATTATCATAATAAAGAGATATGCATAAAGCTATGAAAATGTAGGCTAACAGCAATTTAAGTGTAAAGAACCAGCTGTTATAATGTAACATGCCAAATGATTTTCTTTTGTGGTAAAATACAATATTACTGTATGGTAGCACATACAGTTGGGGAAATTTTCACAGACAATAGACTTCTCACTCTGTATAAAATACAGTAACACTGGTTTAATTCTGTATATATTTGTAAGCACTTTGAGGGTCATAATAAAATTCTGTTGTCCACCCAATAAATGAAGTTCAACATCATTTTGCTGAAATTTGTCAAAGACATTTGAAAGCTCAATGAAAATATTTAAAATACAGTTTACTGAATAATTTCAATATATTTAGTTTGATGCTAGACACAGGTGGAAAATAAAGAGGTGGAATATCACACTGATAATTCCCTTGTTTCTTTTAGGCACAAATAAAATGACTATGTGCCAATGACAGGAACAAAATGAGACAGGGACAAATGCTGTAGACCCCAGAGACAGAGTCCTCGAGGAAGAACTGTGCAAGAAATGAACCATGAACTAGATGCTAAAAAGATAGGAGAATTCCAAATGTTGGAGACAAAGAAAGAAGGGCATCTGCAGAAGGGAGGACATAGGTACTCTTCCAGCTGAGGTGTACAAAGAGAAGGCAGTGAGCCACACCATCTATGTATTTGAGTTCTAGAAGAGGTTATGAGAAACCATAAAAAAAAATCACTCATGGTTTGTGCTGAGCCATCTCCGCTTTCTCATCTGGTCTCCCTTGTGATCAATGAAAGGCATCTGTGAAACACCTGACGGAGGAGCACACAGGTGACCACAGTGCAGGCAAAGCCATATGGAGAATAAGTTCACAACCTTGGCCTTCTTGGCTCTGTGATCTGTCGAAACTAGGACAGAAAGAAAGTGTATTTAATCTTTGTCAAAAGTAAAGCTGGACACCAAAGTGCTACGAATATTCTGTGATAACCCCATAGTGAAGGGGAAGAGGTCCAGCGTGAACCGAGATCAACTTCCATTTGTGCAGGGGTGACCAGGTGTTTCAGAGGCAAATTGAGGGATTAGGGTAGAAGACAAGGAGAGGGGTGAGCAAAGGCTGGGTTTGTTAATTGGTGCCTAACTAGCGGAAGCAAACTTCTCATATTGTTATGCTAGGAAGGACTAGAAAAGACAGAGCAAGGCATGCACACTGAGACTTATTTCCCTGAATGTTTAC